ATAATATAATACTGTCATTTTTGATGTTATTATTTACAACAATTTTTAAGAAAAAATAATATTCTTGGGTAAATATTTAACAGAAAGAAATATAGACAGTTTTATCCATTATATCACACTGTTCATACTAATAAAAATTGTATGAATAAATTTATGAACAATTATACAAAATTGTACTAATAATAAGGGACGTTTCCCAAAGTTTGATAACCAATTTTGATAAAACTTCTGAATGATGCATATTTAAGAAAATAAAAAATAAAATGGTAAAACTTTGAATCTACATAGTTACTATGTCTACTATATTACTATATCTACATAGTTAAACTTGTCATTAAAAAATATATAATTTCTGTGTAAAAATATAAATATAAAATATAAATAAAAATGTAAATGTACAATCTGATATCCACTAATTTCCAAGCCCCTAGAAAACCACGTTCTTCATCCCCAATTTTGAGATCTTCTCTCACCTATTCTCATTTAGGTATTAATAACAGTTTCGTATAATATTTTGTATATCTTGAAATCTCCATTCGCCACGAATTTCATCAAAATCAAAATTGGTACAAAGGAAACGTTCCCCGTAGAAGTATTATTTTCACAATTTTCGTAAGCCCTTATCGCAATATTAAATTGCATCTCTCCGCGCGCGTAATCCGTAATAACGTTTTCAGAGTTTCGAGCTAATATTTGGCCTCTGTTACCATTGAATCCACCGACGACGAATATCATGTCGTCCAGAATGACCGTGGCGAAATTGCTGCGGGGGCTGAACATCTCCGGGACCGCGTGCCAATCCTCCGAATGATTCGGATTGTAACGCTCCCCTGCGAGATCAGAGGGTCGATATTGTAGCAGAACATTAATTTCTACCCGGCCTCAGATTTCTGCGCGATGGCTCGCCACCATGCACAGCTAATGTCTACAAAGTTTCCACGAATTCGAAGAAATTTTACGCGAACGCCAATTTTCATTGGGAGAAAACGTTCGAGTGGTGGTATAGAAGGCCTCTATCTTACCGATTTCATAGAAAATTTGGGTGAAAATTTAATAAGAAAATTGGAAACAAATTTAACAGAAAATTTAGTGCAATACCATCCTGCAAATAAGGTTTTCTTTAACAATTTTATTATACTCAACATTTATTTTTTGAGGGTACAGGAGAAAGAATTTAATGGAAAATTAATAAAGATATAAAATAAGATCGATTTTTTTAGATTTTTTTTGAGACATTTTTCGAAATATTGCATTATTTATGAGGATTGAAATTGCCCAGAGACAAAAGAAAAGAAAATATTCTTGGAAAGATTTTTCAAAATATTCGACGCTATAGTGGATAAAAATAGTTAGGTTAAATCCAAAGATAATTAATTTAACATTTCGAAGTTAGGTTTTCTCTATATTAATTTAAAAATTTTTATGGGCACTTCAATACTTAAAATAAATTATTTCTCTTATAAAAAAGAAATTAGTACTTCAAACTTTGAAAGTATCGAAATTTCGAGTGGTTAAAAATCAAGTTTAAATCTACAACTAATAAAAATTTAAATTTCCAGAATTCCAATCTTCGAAGGTATCGAAATTCCTCAAAATATCGAACACTAATTTAAAAAATTCGAAAATTGGATTCAGAAGCTACTCAAAATTGTCCGACACCCTATATGTAATTCTTAAAACACAATGTAACCTAATCCACCCTAAAATCCCACCCCTCGCCAATTTTCCGCGCCATCTCCCAAACACGGACTCCTATTAGGGTAAAAAGAGGAGGAACCAGGAAGGAATTCTGAACTGATACGTTAACCATGGTCGTGGAGTTACCAGAGCTGAGCCTGATGAATCCGTTGAAGCCGCCCAGAGCGTAAAGGCTGTCTCGAAACGCGACCAGACACACGCCGGATCGCGGGTCGATCATGGGATGGATGTAGCTCCACTGATTGGTCTCCACGTCGAACACCTCTGCGGAATTGAGAACTTCGCGACCACTGAAACCGCCGACGATGTAAATCTTGTCCTGCAAGGCTGCCGCGCTCGCGTCCGACCTCTGCCGATGCATCGGAGGTATCATCTCCCATTGGTTCCTTTGCGGTTCGTATCTTTCCCCGGAGCTCAATCTGGTCCGGCCATTGTACCCGCCGAGAGCGTAGATCTTTCCTCCTAATAGCGGATGAGTCACACGATTTAATATATAGGGTGTTTGGTGATTTCGACGATAGGTCGAGCGACTTTGCCATAAGCGTTGATTAGAGATTGACGAGTGGATGGTCGATGGTCAGGCTGGAATTAGATGCAAGTCTATTACGGGAAATTTTTCGTTCCTTCCGTTAGGAGTCGAGGTTCATGATTAAACTGAGAGATGGGTGCGTGATTTGGGGGTAGTTTCGAGACTCATACGTGAGTCTCGAGAAGGATCCGTGGGTATATGGAGTTAGGATAGACTTAGAATGACTGCAGAGACTAGAAGGAAGCCTGATGTTAGAGGAAGCTTCCGTTTCTTGGTTTGAAATTGGGTGATGAGTGGAGTGAGAGATTGCTGTGTGATCTGAGAGTCCTCGGAATTGGAGAGGATTGAGATTTATAGGTATGTCTTAAGAGGGATTTGCATAGATTTATTACGTGCAAATGTATTATAGGAAATTTCTGGTTTTAGGAATTCCTATATTAGGAATTGGCTGATGAGTAGACTGAGAGATAGGTGTGTGATTGGTGAAGCTTTATAATTAAAGATGTTTGAGTCTGAAGATGGATCCATGGCTACCTAGATTTCGAATAGACCTAGCATGGCAGCAGAGACTATCCGAAAGACTGATATTAGATATTAGTACTGGAAATTTTTCATTCATGGATTAGAAAATGATAGATGTGTGGTTAGACAGTCCTCAGAAGTGCTTGAGATCTATACATGAGCCACAAGTATAATACATGACTACCTAAGATTTCAGTAGACCTAGAACGACTGAGTAGGCTGTCTAATATCTATAATCTAAACTGATATTAGATACAAATCTATTATAGGAAATTTTTGGTTCCTTTATTAGGATTTAGTTGATAATTGGACTGAGAGATAGGTGTGTGATTGGAGAATCCTTATAATTAGAGGTGTTTGAGACTTATACGTGAGTCTGGAGAAGAATATATGGCTACCTAGATTGCGGATAGACCTAGAATGTCTACAGAAACTATTAGGGGGACTGATATTAGATATTAGTACTGGAAATTTGGAAATTTTTCGTTCCTGGATTAGACGATGATAGATATATGGCTAGAGAATCCTCAGAAGTGCTTGAGATCTATACGTAATATTTGAGATCAACAAGGATACATGATTACCCAAGATTTTGGTAAACCTAGATCAAGTGAATACACTGTCTAATATCTAAATTATAGAATAATATCTATTACAGGAAATTTCTGGTTCCTTGATTGGAAAATTATTGATGAGATAGGGATATGATTGAAGAGTCCTTGAAAGTCTAGAGAGTTAGAGGGCTGAAAGAAGAGTACTCGAGATTAGTATCTGAATGAAGCAATGGTCGATTATATATAAAAATTTCAGACTATCAGGTCAGGCTGAAGTGTTAATTAGTTCCTTGTCACTGATTACAGAAGTCTATCAGAAGTGTGTTTGGACCAATTGTTTCACTGAATAAATTTGCATACGATATTAAATGTGGCAGACTCTAGCAATAAAAATTTCTGACGAATCTTGAATGAAATCTTTTCCATGACCACTCTACCTGAGTTCTTGAGATCTGTACATGGAAGGTTCGCATGAGACCTCAGGGCAGACTTGGTTTATGAACCTTGTTAGCACTATCGCAGGAAATTTGTCATTCTAGAAATTTAACATTTAGAATACGGTTGATAACCAGATTGAACGACGGGCATGTAGATGGAAGGTCCTTAGTCTAGAGTGCTAGAGGTCTGACAGAGAAGTGTTTGCTCAAGTGCTTGAGACTAGCGCGTCAACGAATGGTATATAATCATTCAAGGTTTTAAATATATTCGGAAACGGTATAACTTCAATTTCAATTAGATCTATTAAACAAAATTCCTACACTATTATTCGTCCATCTAGAGCATAACTCGTACGAATTAATTACCAGAATATGATAAAACAAAAGGTATAGGAGTAACTTTGTATGCATAATAACAATAAACACTCTTCTCTCAGCAGCCTGACAATTGTCAACATGACAGCAAAGAAACGAATATAATTTGTCATTAATTTACAAAAAGAAAATGCTAATGATCATTAACTATTTTAATTTCTTTATTTGACAAATTAAGAAGCTAGCAAGCTTCCAAAAATCTGACGTGCATGATCGAAAATCGCTGATCCGAAGCACGAATCTGAACCACTCTGATTAGACCAGGAGCTAGACGAAATTTGAAAAGATCAATCCACGTCTGCCTTTCGTTCGCGAGAATTTTTCTCCAACTCTTTCACCGGCCAGGTCATCGTCCTGAAAGGGGTTAAGGGGGAGAGAACGAGTCTAACCGTGGGTGCAAACGCTGACGTAACACCTCGCGTGATACATGCAGGCCCGTTCACGCCACTCCCTCGTGACCGGATCGAAGCATCTGACCGTGTTGAAGTGCTGGTTGCCGTCGAACCCGCCGATCATGTAGATCAAATTGTTCAACGTGCACAAGCCGTGGTAGGACCTCGGCGTCACGTCCGTATTCACTGATAGAAACCATCTGTCAGCTCTGGAGTTCACATTACAGGAACCCTGTGTGAGTCTCGGCACGGTTCACTACGTATCGTCAGTTCGAGGGTCACAGCGACGTCGTAAATTATTGAATCTAATTGTCGTAAGTACATATAGAGCTCTAATGACGTTGAAATGGCGTCGCTGATGTTGCTGACTGTCTAGAACCTAGATCTCAGAGTCTAGAATCTAGAATATAGACTTATCTAGAGTTTAGAGTCTAAAATCTATATCCTAGAGTCTAACATCTAGAATATAGACTTATCTAGAGTCTAGAACCTAGATCCTAGAGTTTAAAATCTAGAATATAGACTTATCTAGAGTTTAGTACCTAAATCCTAGATCCTAGAGTCTAAAATCTAGAATATAGACTTATCTAGAGTCTAGAGTCTAGAACCTAGACTTATCTAGAGTCTAGAACTTAGATCCTAGAGTCTAAAATCTAGAATCTACACTTATCTAGAGTTTAGAACTTAGATTCTAGAGTCTAGAGTCTAAAATCTAGAATATAGACTTATCTAGGGTCTAAAACCTAGATCCTAGAGTCTAGAATCTAGAATATAGAATCTAGATCGATCTAAAGGTTAGAACCTACTCTTCGTAGATTGAAGACATTTAGGTATGACTCGTAACCAAGAGAATATCGGTAATTCCAAATTTTGAGGTTAGGATTCGGTTTGGAATTTTCTAGGTTAGTGAACTTGGTTCATCAATAAGTTTCTTGTAAATGATATATAAGTATAACTCCGTGATGTATGAGATTCTTTACTTCTTGTTGAAAGAGGAATAATAGTGTTGAATATTTTATGGAGATTATTGAAATTAAACGTTCTATATTATTTATTGTTGTCTCAGTTATGCGAGTAATATTAGTTACTCATTCAGTATTAAAATAATCGTTTAAAGGATGTTATTTAGATTCGATTAGGTGCTTGTAGCCATATTGGTATTGCCTGTTATCAGTGACCACTGTGGCGCCACTGGTCATGCCTACTGTACCCATCGAGTTAACCTTCTATAACATTACGTGATTCGAGAGTCATAGATACTTTTACATTTTAATTCTCCTATTATTGACTTACAGTCTCCTATTTTATTACTGCCTTGTTATTAAACAGTCTGTCCATAGAATTTAATTATCAATATTCTTTTAAATTGTAATGAAAAAATTATAATCCATTTGAATCTCATGAACTAACAAAATTTCAAACTATCAAAATTTATAGGAGATTAATTATCACCCACTAACAATTTAATACCGTTAAATTCTACTTGAAATTAACTTTGATAATCATAATGATAACCATAAGTCATCATCAACGACCCATTTCAAATTCTCATTCAACATCTCCAATTATTATTTATATTTATATTATATGCTTCTACGTTTCTTTATCCTATTTCATTTTCAATCTTCCATCTCGTGGAACTGTTTTAACTAACTTTCTGAAAAGTCAATGTTCTTATATCTTTTTCCTGTTTTACGACTTCGCTGTATCGCTCGAGCCAACTGTACGTCGCGTGAAATCAACACCGCGTCGGTAATAGTAACCGATGTACATCGCAGAGGGACTTGGAATTTTGAAAAAAATAATAGGAAATGAAGAATTGCACTTTTAAGGTGGTATCAAGCACCTCGTGTCGTAAGTCTCTACGAAATTCGTCGGGGAACCGGCGCTCCATCCGCCGATCGCGAACAGGATCTCATAGGGGATTCGAGGCTTGGATAGGGGGTTCTTCAGATCGATCTCGCCGCTCCCTTGCCTCGCTTCCTGTTCCTTCAGGTACTGGTTAGCGGGACCTATCACTTGCTGGCATGACTGGAAGGAAGGGAAATCAGTTTAGAAATTTATTCTTTCCCGTGACTCGTAGGAAAATACGAAAATGTGAAAGATAATAAAGAAAAAGGAGAAATAAAGTGAAATATGAGGTTAGTACCGGACAGGGTGCATTTACTAACCCTTTGACTCTCAGTCACCGTTTGTTTTAATGCTATAACTTAAATAATGGATGATAATAATTATATTAAGAACATCGAAATAAAATTATTCTATTCGTTCGTTTCTCACGCAAATTCACGATTTTTATTTTTGAATTTCAGCATAAAGAGTTTAGTGAGCTTATAAAAATCTAAGAGCTTCGAATTGCATCCTCAAAACGAAGAAATCTTCGAGTCCAAAGGGTTCACTTTATTCGTATTGTCACTGGGCAAAATGGAACTATAGTTTTTCTTTTTTAACAGTATATTTTTATAAATTACTATTACTATTTTTTAATAGTATAGTTTATAGTTGTATCCAATTTTTAATTTTTCAAAATGCGGAACTTCTGATATTTTTTTTAAATAAAATTATGAGCAATATGTTCAACTCCACTTTAAAAAATTTTAATATCACTTTTTTAATTTGAAAAGATTTTACTAGGAACTTTAATTACAGAAATAAAATATTTAAAATATTTCAAATAAATTTGTATTCCTTTATTCTGTGGAATTAATTAATTTGGTAAACGAGTGACTGGTATTTTTTCATAGTTATACCTTTTTTAATTGGCGAATTTGGAAATTGATTAAGCATAAATTTTCCTGTATTAATTATGCAAAAATATTAAATCAACACGATATTATTCGAAAATATTAATTTTGTATACGAACCATTTTCAGGCTAAAATGATTAACTCCACTTTGGAAATTTTTCTGTGAGATTTTAGTATCATATTTAAAATAAATTTCCAAATTTTTGTTTCATAAATTTAATTAATTCCTCAAACGAATAGCTCGCGTGTAATATAAATATTATAATATAAATATATATTGTTAATTTGATTATTCTAAAAAATTACTGGAACAAACAGGAAGAAAAATAATTCCCTTCTTATTTATCGTTCAAATGATCGATCATACCTCGTCACTCAGCTCGTCATCATCGATGATCTTCCACGTGAGGACATTGTTCGCGAAGTAGTTGTAGCTCATCAAACCGTAGCGCACACATTTCAAGAGCCTAGGCAAATAGGGCCTCCTTTCTTCCACGTTATGCTCCAGCCAGGTTTTAACGGCCTCGAAAACTATTTCTTCGTTTTTAACATTCAGCTCGTCGTCACGTAGAATCGCCTCGAGTTCCTTGCTCGTCAGCTCTTTGAATTCCGGGCTCTCTTGCAGTATCCGCTTAAAGTGATGGCGAATGTATTTCCGGCCCTTCTCCTCCAGGTCGCGGCAGAAATAGTGGCGAGCGAATTTGAAGATCCCTACCGACGGTGGGAATTTCAGTAAATTGCCGTGAAAAGTGGGAGAAAAAGAAGACATTAAAATATTCGACGAGAGGAGGGTCGCGATGACGATATTTTGAAGCGCGAGAAACGGGGTTAGCGAGGGATTTAAAAGAGAATCGTCGAGATTCCGAAGTGTCCGATGATTAATGAAATTGCCGTGAATATTTAGCTTCCAATTTTTCAAGAATCGTATGAAACTATAATTTCACGATTTTAAATTAACCCTCCATTAACAAAATTTTGTTCATTCGTGGAAAAAGAAGAATTAAAATATTTCTTATTCTAATTAGGAGTATGGTAATTAATGATTATTGTAAATTGATCATTTTAAGTCAGTATGATAATGTACTTCTAAAATAAAATATTCTTTCACTAATTAAATTTGTCAATTTGATTTATCAAAATGTTTCCGATGATTAATGAAATTGCCGCGAATATTTAGCTTCCAATTTTTCAAGAATCGTATGAAACTATAATTTCACGATTTTAAATTCACCCTCCATTAACAAAATTTTGTTCATTCGTGGAAAAAAAAGAATTAAAATATTTCTTATTCTAATTAGGAGTATGGTAATTAATAATTATTATAAATTGATCATTTTGTGTCAGTATGATAATGTACTTCTAAAATAAAATATTCTTTCACTAATTAAATTTGTCAATTTGATTTTTCAAAATGTTTCCGATGATTAATGAAATTGCCGTGAATATTTAGCTTCCAATTTTTCAAGAATCTTGTGAAATTATAATTTCACGATTTTAAATTAACCTTCTATTAACAAAATTTTGTTCATTCGTGAAAAAAGAAGAATTAAAATATTTCTTATTCTAATTAGGAGTATGGTAATTAATGATTATTGTAAATTGATCATTTTAAGTCAGTATGATAATGTACTTCTAAAATAAAATATTCTTTCACTAATTAAATTTGTCAATTTGATTTATCAAAATGTTTCCGATGATTAATGAAATTGCCGTGAATATTTAGCTTCCAATTTTTCAAAAATCGTATGAAATTATAATTTCACGATTTTAAATTAACCCTCTATTATCGGAATTTTGTTTATTCGTGGAAAAAGAAGAATTAAAATATTTCTTATTCTAATTAGGAGTATGGTAATTAATGATTATTGTAAATTGATCATTTTAAGTCAGTATGATAATGTACTTCTAAAATAAAATATTCTTTCACTAATTAAATTTGTCAATTTGATTTATCAAAATGTTTCCGATGATTAATGAAATTGCCGCGAATATTTAGCTTCCAATTTTTCAAGAATCGTATGAAACTATAATTTCACGATTTTAAATTAACCCTCTATTATCAGAATTTTGTTTATTCGTGGAAAAAGAAGAATTAAAATATTTCTTATTCTAATTAGGAGTATGGTAATTAATGATTATTATAAATTGATCATTTTGTGTCAGTATGATAATACTGACTTACTTATAAAATAAAATATTCTTTCATTAATTAAATTTATCAATTTTCAGATTCTTGTGTATTCATGGAAAGAAAATGATTTAAATTACTTCATTATATTTTTCATTCTAATTAAGAGTGTGGTAATTAATGATTGTTTTAAATTAATTATTTTCTGCCACTTTGATGATGTACTTCTGAAATGAAGGGGCAAGAAGTGACACGATGTATAATTAAATATATAGTGTAATTAAATATATAATGTAAGATGTGATTATGGAATATCAATAATTGAAATAATAATTATAATACTATCCAACAAATTTTAACTTTTTCTCTAATATTTGTGACATTTATTGGGCAATTCTTGTAAAATCTACATTCCTGAACACGAATCCGTAATTCAAATTACTCTATCATTCTCAGTTTCCAAAAATGTGAGTTTTCCTAAAAAAAAGCACGATTTTTGATTAAAATGAAGTATTACGTAAAAAGTAAAAATGTTAGGAGACTGGATACATAAATATAAATGACTTTTTAGTATACAGTAATTAAAAAATAAATACCCACCTAACGTATAAGATGAGAATAAATTTTCTAATAATTTCACTTTTCACGTAATAAATAACTTTATCCAAAAATCGTGCATTTTGAAAAAATTCGAAAACTTCCAATTACAAATTCGTTTTCAGAAAAGTAAACTCTACGAGATTAAAATTCGCGTCGAAGTGTAATTAATACACGTGATGCTTAATTGAAAATAAAATTTCCTTTTTCTAAAAACAATATATAAAAATTTTCTAACAAATTTGCAAACCTTCCTGAATAAATATAATAACCTATACTAATATTTAGAATTATAAACATTTCTTTATTAAAAAGTTGTACTTCTCTCACAGTTCTCTTAAATCTGTTTGAACATAAATCCACTTCCATTAATTTTCCAATTTTTATCCCACCCAGTAGCCAACAGGGAGTATCAATATAACATTACACCCCCATAAAGAAGCATAAAATGTGGCTCATCGTATCTTTCCCAGTGGTCCCTCAATTAATAATTGAGAGGCCCGAAGGGAAAGTTACGCAAGTGTCACGATATTTAATTCATGGTAATACAAAACGTCTACAGAAAACTACACATATTTCCAAGCATAAAAATTCATTAACCCCTTCAAGGTCGAATTTTTTTTAGTTAACGTTACAACAATAGCAAAGCTTTGGTTATAAAGTAGAATAAAGTGTAATAAAGTATAATAAAAAGTATAAAAGTATAATAAAGTAGTAAAGAATAATAAAAAGTATAAAAGTATAATAAAGTAGTAAAGTATAATAAAAAGTATAAAAGCATAATAAAGTAATAATGTATAATAAAAAGTATAAAAGTATAATAAAGTAATAAAGTAGTAAAGTATAATAAAGTAATAAAGTATAATAAAAAGTATAAAAGTATAATAAAGTAAAGTAAAGTAAGTATAATAAATATTAGCAATGATATTCGACGAGTATCCTTTTTATTCTTGAGAAATACTATGGTGAATAGTTTTTCAACCATTATAATTTTCTTTTACAATTTTTTTTCACTAATAATAATCATAATTTTCAAAAAATTAAACGTATACATATGCACTAGTCTCCCTGAAGAGGTTAATAAATTCCCTAAATTTACCATGATGTCAGTTATTTGCTATACGTATATCATTTTTCGATGAAAATACGATTTCGAAGTTGAAAATTTCCTTTTAGGTTTCTCAATTAATATTTTGACACCGTGTCAATGAATCTACGATGTACCTAAACAATTTTCTGGCCGAAGTTCTTGCAGCAGGAACTGACAACAGAGCTGCACGACTCCAAGGACCTCGAACTGATCAGCCAGGGGTAGAAGTTGCTCGACGTTGTCGGCATTCACATTGCATGTGCCTGTGTAAGCGTAATCAAGGATCAGGCTGAAAATTTTCCCGGGTACCGAATCGATCGCGACTTCCGTGGTCTCTGTTTTCCCAGCTTTCAGACTGTTGGTGAAAAGCGCCTTGAAGTACGGGCTGACCGCTGACAAAATGGCGCGGTGCACGGGGAAAACGTGACCCGTGGCGCATCTGATTACACCGTCGCACAATTGCTGGTTGGCCCTGAAATTTTCATGCGTTTTATTACCATGGAAGAATATGGAACTAAAGGAAACGAAGTATTCGTCTGTTTGGCAAATTTTTAATTCCGAGTGTACGAGATTTTTAGGTTTTCGTATGTCTTTTAGTCTGTTCGAAGAGGTTATGTTTGAAAGTAAATAAGATGGGAGAAATATTTGGGAAACTTTGCGATTTTTGGAAGATTTATGATCGTTAATTCTGTATGTTTATAAATAATGGCAGTGGTTTGTGATATTTGGAATTATATTATTTTATTAATGCATCGTTCGTCACGTGGGAAGATAAAGTTACTGGATAAAGGAAACATATGTCTTTTAGTCTGTTCAAAGAGGTTATGTTTGAAAGTTTGTTAAATAAGATGGGAGAAATAGGTAGTTACACGATATATTTGGGAAGCTTTGCGATTCTAGCAAGATTTATGACCGTTAATTCTGTATATTTATAAATAATGGCAGTGGTTTGTGATATTTGGAATTATATTATTTTATTAATGCATCGTTGGCTTCGTGGGGAGATAAAATTACTGGATAAAGGGAACACTCGTCGCATTATTACTGTTTTAAAGCCTACTCATCAGCCACGAAGGAAACTCATAACCTAACTCTATACTTATGGGAAACTTGCAAACTTCGTGACCCATTTCCTACCAAAGTACTTCAACAATTTTCACCAAATTTTGCCGAATTACTCCAGTAATGATGCTAATACGAGTTTATAATTCTTTTACAAACGAAAAGATCTAGATAATATCGTAACTATGTTTCTTTATTCCCATACACTGTATTTAGCTAACTCGTATACTGACGAAATACAGTCCGCCATATTAACTCTTTGCACTCAATGATTTTTTGACTAGAGAAGAGAAGAGATTCCGAGATTCTTTGCTATAAAGCTACCAATTTTCTTTTCCTCATTTTAAATAAGAAATAGTATAATAATTAACAGGTAGAATTATTTGATTTCAATATCTCGCACACTGTCACATCGTTTTAAATTTGATATATCAATTAATATCGATCTTCAAAATTTTATTAAATGGTGACTGGAAGTCACCTCTCCTGTTTTAACTCAACTATAGAGAATCTACTCAATTATAGAATATTTACATGAACAAATTACCAAATCTAAACGGAATTTCATTTTCAGGACCAAGTGCCTGCATCAATACAACAACCAAACACATTCTCATCAACGCACAACTTCGATCAGGAGCAAACTATAATTATAGAAAATCATATTTCATCGATATTTCATAGCCAATTCCATATCTACATAAACAAATTCCCAAAGCCAAACAGAACCTCATTTTCAAGATCAAGTATCTGCACTAATTGAACAGCTAGCTCCTGAAACCATCCTCATCAGATCGCTCCTCCAGTTTGAACTCAACTATAGAAAATCATATTTCATCTATACCTATTATCCAATTCCATATCTACATAAACAAATTCCCAAACCCAAACGGAATTTCATTTTTAAAATCAAGTACCTGCATCAATCTAACAGCTAAACCTTGAACCCATCCTCATCAGATCACTCTTCCAGTTTGAAGTCAAGTATAGAAAACCATATTTCATCTATACCTATTATCTAATTCCATATCTACATAAACAAATTCCCAAACCCAAAAAGAACATCATTTTCAAGATCAAGTATCTGCACTAATTGAACAGCTAGCTCCTGAACCCATCCTCGTCAGATCGCTCCTCCAGTTTGAACTCAACTATAGAAAATCATATTTCATCTATACCTATTATCTAATTCCATATCTACATAAACAAATTCCCAAACCCAAACGGAATTTCATTTTTAAGACGAACTTTTGCAGCAACCCAACAGCTATACCCTGAACCCATCCTCATTAGATCGCTCCTCCAGTTTTAACTTAACTATAGAATATTTACATGAACAAATTACCCAACCCAAACAGAACATCATTTTCAAGATCAAGTACCTGTACTAATCCAACAGCTGACCTCTGAACCCATCCTCATCAACGCACAACTCGTTTCGATGAGGAGCCATCCCGGATAATGCACCTACATAATTGAAACATCCTATCGCGGAGTAGGCCAAAGAGTATGGGGCACTGACGTAGAGTGCAGAGAAGCTTACAGACCTGAGCTCGGACCAGACTACAGGGAATTCAACGAGGGCGTAATTGGACGGCAGGCACATGCATTTCCGTATTTTAGCCGGCTGCTTCCTGACGCACTGCTTCAGCTTGGTAGCGGAAACGGCGGCTCGCGACATCCGGTTGCGAGACAGCTTCCTGAACTTGATCCTTCCGCGGCCGTCCATCGCCTCGCGGACGAGCCACGCGATCCCAGCGTCGCTGGCCACCATGTGCCCCGACCTTTCCACCGCGTTCCGCGATATGTTCCTCTTCTTCGTCCTCTGCTCTGTATTCCTTATGGTTAGCGATGCGAGCCCCGGCACACCGGAGAGTCGCGGCCATGACAGAGGAAGGCCGAGACTTTCAACTGACGGCTCGCGCGCTCGAGATCGAGATCGAGATCGAGACGAAGCGACCTGTGGCGCTGTTCTCGATGGTTCTCGTGGCGGAGGGAGTTTCGAAGGTTGGGTAAGGGTACGATTCGATTGATGAGGAAGCTGACGATTGTGTTGTCTGTGATATCGAGGGTTTGGAGATGGGATTTTTAACGTGGATCAGTTAACCCTCTATGGACCCGTGTAACTTTCAAGTTACATGCTAATGTATGGGTATTTTATTAAGTACTACATTCAACGTTATCGTCTTCATCACTCCAGTTCGCAAATTTTCTTTCCATATATTTATAATTATTTTTACAATACTTCTCGTAGGTCCATTTTTAAAAATTCTAATTCTTTTTCATTTACCGGTTATTCGACCATGATAGGTTAGGTTCTCTGTGGACCCCTATGGCCTTTTTTCCACAAGATGGCGTGGAAAATTATCTTGTCTATCTATTGCACATTATCTTGGCACAATAGTACAAACGTTGTTAATTCAAACTTTCAATATGAACTCGTTATAATAAAATTGTCAAATCTGCTGAATTTATTGGTTGATATTTGTTGATTTTATGTTACATACCATTCTTATAGCCAAGGAAAATATATATTCGGTACATAGAGGGTTAATTAAATATTGTTTGAAGTTTCCCAGTGAAAGAGATTTCGTTACCTTGGTGTATAGAATTTGCAAAGATATAAAGGTGTGATTCGATTGGTGATTAAGGTAATGGTGAAGTAGTCTTTAATCGAGGGTTTGTAGATGGGATTTTTAGTGTGGATAGATTGTTCAATTATTGTTGAAAATTTCGCAGTGAAAGAAGTTTCGGTGCTTATGGTGCCTACAATTTGCAAGGTTGTAAAGATGTGATTCGATTGGTGATCAAAGTAATAATGAATGTGGTTATGATTAAAGGTTTGGAGATGGGATTTTTAACGTGGATCAGTTAATTAAATATTGTTTGAAATTTCCCAGTGAAAAAGATTTCGGTGCTTATGGTGCATAGAATTTAGAAAATTGCAAAGGTGTGATTCGATTGGTGATGGAGGTAATCATGAATGTGATGTGTGATTAAAGGTTTGGAGATGAGATTTTTAGTGTAGATACATTGTTCAATTATTGTTGAAAATTTCGCAGTGAAAGAAGTTTCGGTGTCTGTGGTGTCTAGAATTTGCAAAGATATAAAGGTGTGATTCGATTGGTGATTAAGGTAATGGCGAATGTGGTCTGTGATCAAAGGTTTAGAGAAACAATTTGTATCATGGCTGGATTATTTAATCATTCTTAGAAGTTTCGCAGTGAAAGAGGATTTGGTATCTGTGGTGTCCAGAATTTGCAAAATTGTAAAGGTGTAATTCGATTAATAATTAAGGTAATAGTGGTGTTGTGTGTGATTTAGAGTTTGGGGAAAGGATTTCTAGTATGAATGAATTGTTTAATCATTCTCAGAAGTTCTGCAATAAAATAGGTATTGGTGCTTATGGTACCTAGAATTTGCAAGGTTGTAAAAGTGCGATTCGATTGGTAATCAAGCTAATGATAATGAAGTCTGTCAATTAAAAGTTTAGAGATGGATTGTTCAATTATTGTTGGAAGATTATCAATGAACAGATTGAATGATTTGATTTCCTGCTTGTGGTATACATATAAATATAAATTAATTGCATTAATTTGTTATTACATGAAAGTTTAATTATTATAAGAAAAATATGAATAAAATGCAAATATTTTTGTACAAAATAAACCAAAAAGTATAATTATTGCGGAGGAATATATTTGTTCTTAGAAATTGAAATCAAACATTGTTTTACAGGGAATACAGCGAATTTCTTCTCACGAAAATATTTGCACCATTCCCCTGCAGCATCATTCCCTACGTCAAATAAAAATCCCTGTACGGAAACACGAGATACAACCCCAAACGCTTAATCAACCCCTTGCAATCACACGCAGCGCACCCTAAACGAGAAGCGTAGCAAACGGATGCGAAATAGCATGTAACGCACATCCTCGTTCGTGCATAGTTATCTCAAAACACTTTACAACGACTGTTAAGTCTGGCACAGACGAATGATGAGACGTTATAACGCGTCGATGCAATTTCTCACGTGCATTTCGACATTGAAAATCCTAATGATGCCGCAATGTTCAACAACTGTATCAGTCCTGGAGCAATGAATAAAATATAAAAGGTTTTCAGACCTCGGAAGACAAACCAATAACTACATTCAACGAGCACACCATTCTTCAAGAAGATATTATACTTTGATCGCCATACAATCTAAATTTATTCAAAATTAAGTCCCCTTCGATAACTCAAAAATTCAACTCTTCCAATTTCTTCTAGAAAACAGGTGTTTTATAGATAGACGACTCGAAACTTGAATCTATGTCTTTGTAACATCAAAAATTTTAATCATTCCTTCTCTAAAACAATGCAAATCTCAATCACATGTGTAGAACAATTTGCAACTCTAATTTAACCTATAGAGATTCAAAAACTCTAGGGACCTATTGTCCCCCTAAAAATACTCAAAACTGAGACCTATGCCTTTAGACAACCCAAACTTTCAACTATCACTTTAGCAAAATAACTGAAAAATCCAATTACCCTCGAAGAGGACCTAAAAGTCTAACCTAACCTGTCAATGACTCAAAAAATCACCTACCTCACCTGTAAAAGTACTCAAAACTCAAACTTATCCCTTTGAACAATCCAAACTCTCAACCATCGCTCCACCAAAACAACTGAAAAATCTAATTATCCCCGAGGAGGATCCAAAAGTCTAACCTAACCCGTCAACGACTTAACAACTCATCTACCACAGCTCTATAAGTACTCAAAATTTAAACTTATGCCTTTGAACAATCCAAACTCTCAACCATCGCTCCACCAAAACAACTGAAAAATCTAATTATCCTCAAGAAAGACCCAAAAGTTTTACCTAACCTGTCAACGACTCAATAACTCATTTACCACAGCTCTATAAGTACTTAAAACTTAAACTTATCCCTTTGAACAATCCAAACTTTCAACCATTACTCCTACAAAACTAAATAACTCAACCACTCTCAAGAAAGACCCAAAAGTCCCACCTAACCTTTCAAAGACTCAATAACTCATCTACCACAGCTCTATAAGTACTTGAAACTTAAATTTATCCCTTTGAACAATCCAAACTTTCAACCATCGCTCCACCAAAACAACTGAAAAATCCAATTACCCTCGAGGAGGACCTAAAAGTCTAACCTAACCTGTAAACGACTCAAAAAATCAACTACTACCCTTATAAAAGTACTCAAAGCTTAAATTTTATCCCTTTGAACAATCCAAACTTTCAACCATTACGCCTACAAAACTAAATAACTCAACCATTCTCAAGAAAGACCAAAAAGTCCTACCTAACCTGTCAAAAACTCAATAACTCATCTACCACAGCTCTATAAGTATTTAAAACTTAAACTTATCCCTTTGAACAATCCAAACTCTCAACCATCGCTCCACCAAAACAACTGAAAAATCCAATTACCCTCGAGGAGGACCTAAAAGTCTAACCTAACCTGTAAACGACTCAAAAAATCAACTACTACCCTTATAAAAGTACTCAAAGCTTAAATTTTATCCCTTTGAACAATCCAAACTTTCAACCATTACGCCTACAAAACTAAATAACTCAACCACTCTCAAGAAAGACCCAAAAGTCCCACCTAACCTGTCAAAAACTCAATAACTCATCTACCACAGCTCTATAAGTACTTGAAACTTAAATTTATCCCTTTGAACAATCCAAACTCTCAACCATCGCCCCACCAAAACAACTGAAAAATCTAATTACCATTGAGGAAGACCCAAAGTCCAACCTAACCTACTAACGACTCAAAAAATCAACTACCACCCTTATAAAAGTACTCAAAATTTAAATTTATCCCTTTGAACAATCCAAACTTTTAACCATCACTCCCGTAAAACTAAATAACCTAACCACCCTCGAGAACGACTCAAAAGTCCTTATCCAAAGCAACCTTTGCTAACAACCCAAAACCCTAGCCATCGCTTCTTCGAAGCAACCCAAAAATCCAATCACTCGATCACCAAAGCCGACCCAGAACTTCAACCAAATCCCACCCGTGAATCTTTCAACCCATCCCAAAAATTCAATCACCCGCTCACCAAGGACAAGCCGAAACTGCAACCAAAACCCCCCATCGGTGATCCCTTCGAGCGAAGCCAAAACACAGGACTGCCAACGAAGCACACGCTCGCCAATGGCCGCGACCACGCTCGATGGACGCCTGATAGCACGAAGGCTTAACGAACCGAAAAGAGCATCCCTTAAATCGTGGATCCGGTGGCGCGACAGGGCGGGGTCGTTGCCGATCGAAAGCGTATCGGGCCGGCGGTATCGGGGCCGCGAAACAAAAACCACGTCCGAAGGTTAAGGGCTGCTGCGAGGGCGAGGGCGCGCTCACCGTTACCCGCGAAATCGCTGTTCCGTACACACACGCGCGCACCCACGCACACCGCCGCGTCCCCGTGGCGGCCCACGTAAAAGTCACGTGGCACGCGACCGCCGCCAATCAATATCGAGCCAACGCGGGGTGTGTGCGTTCACAGGGCGGCAGTGAAAGGCGGCGGAGCACTGCGAGCCAGTGCGTCCGCGGCCGTCAACCACACCTTGTCGGGGAAGCTAGCTCGCGAGAGACACGCGCGCGCGCACACACACATACACACACCTTCGCAGCGCTACCCGTCGTCGTCGTTCGACCGGTCGTTTCGCTTTCGACGCGGTCTGCCTGTTGCGACACGGCTCACTCGTCGAGGGAAGGATCCCAAGTGGAAGGTACGACGCAGGACGTCTGGGGTTCAAGGTATCTAAGTTGATGAGGTGCACTCGGGGAAGGTTTTGTTGTTCGAAAGAGGCACGGAGCTTGGTGAGTCTGCATTCTCAATTTGGGCATTCAGCATGGATGTCATCGTGAAGTCAAGTTAATGGTCGTAGCATATCAGACCCTAAGCTTTGAGGTAAGATATGAGCAAGTCTCGTTGTAGAGGAACGAGGAGACTCTTGTGGACGCGTTCAAAGGTGAGATTTCGTTTTCAATCTGAGGATTCATCGTGATGATTGGGGGTGTCAGTGGGTCTTCTATTGTTGGCGTTGTAAGGTGTACTTGGATCACCGATTTCTAAGCTTCTATGTTCAAAGTCAGACAGGAGATCGATGAGTTTCTATTTTCCATCTGAAGATTTATCATGGAGGTTGGGTGTTAGTGATTCTCCCGTTGCTTGGAGTTGGGGATGAGGGTTGTATAGTCATAGCGAAGTCACGCTCCTGGTCGTTGGGGGTTGTATCCCAAGTGCAAGGTACGAGGTAAGGCTAGTCTAGGTTCTTCTCGTGACGGGATAATTGGGAGACGCGAGGATCAGGGTTAGAGGGCTGGACTCCGAAGGAACGCGGAGGATTCTCGTTACGAGGTCTATTTAGACCCCTGGGTTTTGTAGTTTCGGGCAGAATACTGGGCACTTTGTACTCCTATTTTACGGTTTTATGTCGAGGACTCGGAGAGGACTTAGGAGAGTCAGATCAGAATTAGAACGAAGTTGCTGACAGGGTATCTGCAAGACCAAGTCCCTTCATCTGCTACGTCTAGTTGCTGCTCGTTTGGCGAGTCTATTTTAGGAGACTTCTCTGGTGTTTCCTGTTTTAGACAGACCTAAACAGTTGTCTAACTTGGCGCTATCTTATGGATATTCGGAAATGACGTGAAATCCAGAAGAGAATAGGTTTTCCAGTGAAAACGATATACGTAGAAGCTAACCCCGTGTGCAGTAAATCAAGAGGATGAGTAGAGATCTCGAAGACAAATCCACTTTGTGGCGTGTACAATCTCTGGGAAGACATGTCTCCTGAAAAGTCGCTTATTCCAAACCAGACCTCTTGGAAACCTACCCTAAATCCTGACTTCTATTTCAAAACTTGGACCAAGTCATCGGCTAAAGTTTGACAACCTCAGAAATCCATATCTCTCCTCATATACGCGCAAAAATCAGCCTGTCTATCTATCAACCAGACCTCGTGGAGATCCAATCTTACCTCTGAGCAGATAGAAAATCCTTCTAAAAGCTTGCGATTCGAAAGGCCGAGTCAAATCCATCAGGTAAAACCTGGCACCTGCAAAGTCTCATCCGCGAATCCCATTCGACATCCAATTATTCACCGCAAACCGTAGCCTGTCTAACCAACCCTCGGCGCAGCACTTGTGCAGAAAAATGCGAAACGCAAACCAAGACCAGACTGCCGTGGCTCGATAACTGCCGGGACTCAGACTTTCCCAAGCAACGAGATAAACCAACAAAAACCAGTCGGGAGAAGTTTGAACTCCTCTCGCGCCGACCATTGAGACCGCAACCCCATAGACGTCTCCCGTTCCACCAGACGGAACAGTGGAAATTCCAGCCTGGCGTCGTGCTCAAAGAATTGAAGAATATTCAAAGCTACTTTCTCGGGACCACTCGATGGCCGCGGGCTGGCTTCTTTGTGACTCTCCCTCTCTCTCTCTCTCTCTCTCTCTGTTTCGCAGACGCGGTTCTCCGCGTCGGGGATTTTTTCCCAGAGGACTGCTCGACTTTCCTGGAGGAAAAGAGGGGAAAAAATGGAAAAACGGGAGAAAGATGGAAAGGCGTGCACACGTCTGTGTCTGGGTGGTGGGAACCGGGAGCTTAATGGTGGTCGAGTGTTTTCGAGGAGGAGCGTAGGTGAAAGTGGAGAGGTGCGTGGCAGCTCCGGCGGCGTTCTCTAGCGGATATCGAGCGATCGAGGCGTCGTGTGAATTTTTTAGATCGGGCCTTTTTTGACGGCCACAGGTCGGAAACGTGTCCGCCGGTTTATCTACGGCTGCCAGACACGCCGCTCGTGCCGCTGTCACGCCGGCTGCAATATTAAACGAAGCTGCGTGATGCTGTTTCGCTCGCTCGCGCGCGAGGGTGGTTCAGACGGCGGGGCGTTTCGAATCCGCCACTCTGCCCGCGTGAAATTCTCTCCCACTCCCTCGCTATCTCCGACAGCCGCTGCGGATGCCCTGGTATCCTCTAGCCTCGCGTGTTTATTTCATTCCCGAGTTTTCTTTCCTCCTTTTCTTGCTGGGGTAGATGATGCAGCATTTTGGGGGATTATGATGAATATTTTATTTTTATTGCATCGGGTTCTGCTGGTAATTCGTGGAAATTTTTTTTACCATAACGCGTCTCATGTTGAGTTTGATGGGATGCTGGGTCGATGATTATGGATCACTATATGGGATATTGTTGTTTATTTTATTTAACGGTTTTATAGGGTATGAGGTAGAGGTCTTTGGGGGATTATGATAAATATTTTATTGGATTAGTTTATATTGTAATTCATGGACATTTTTTTACCATAAACCTTCTAATGGGATGTTGGATTGATGATTTTGAATGACTATATTGTTGTTTATTTCATTTAATGGTTTTATAAGGTAGGTGGAGGTCTTTGAAGGATTATGATAAATATTTTATTGGATTAGGCTGTATTGTAATTTATGGAAATTTTTTTACCATAATGACAGGATGATAGGTTAATAATTTTGAATGACTATATGGGATATCGTTGTTTAATGGTTCTGAAGGGTAGGTAGATAAGGTCTTTGGGGGATTATGATGAATATTTTATTGGACTGGATTGTGTTGGTAATTTGTGGAAATTTTTTTACCATAAAGCTTCTGATGTTACTATACTTCTGATGGGATGCTGGGTTGATGAGTTTGGATAACTATATGGGACATTGTTGTTTATTTCGTTTAATGGTTTTGAAGGGTAGATTCAAGAGGTCTTTAGGGGATTATGATGAATAAAATATTATATTGGGTTGTGTTGGTATGATTATGGGAATTTTTTTTTGTTATTAAGTTTCTGATGGGATGCTGAATTGATGATTTTTGGTGACTATTGAATATTGTTGTTTGCGTAGGAGAGATGAAACAGGATTTTGGTAGATTATGATGAGTATTTTAATGGACTAGGTTATTCTGGTATGATTATGGGAATTTTTTTATCATGAAGCTACTGATGATAGTGATATCTTTTTTGTTTGAATCGATTTTATTGGATATGGAAAAAGCCATGGAAATTTTGGATAATTTGATCCGATTGAAATGGGTATATGGATTCATTTGTTTGTGGATGCTATATAAATATCTTGGTTTTGATTTTTTATATATTTGTTGAATTTGTTGGAATCGTGTTAAATAGGTATGTAAGATTTTGTTGATTGTGAAGGATTTTTGGAAATTATTTGAGGTTTCTTGAGGTCAATATATTTCTATATGAATTTTGCCAATTTAACACAAATTGTAGAAATTTTTGAACTTTTGAAATTAAAATTTTTGGATTTTGGATGGATGTATATGTAAGTGGTTCTTTGTAAATGTAAATATTTTCATTTGAGTTTTATGTGTATTCCAAGATTTTATTAATTATGCAGGATTGTGATAATTTTTTAATAAAGATACATTGAAATAGGTAATTTTCATGCACATGGGTTTGCTCATTTGCATATACTATTTTCCTTCTTATTTTCTCTATATTCCAAGGTCTTGACGCGGTTATGTAAGATAACGAGTGAAAAATGGGATATATTTCTTTGCGTATTGCTAGAGTTTTTAGAAGTTTGTAGATAAATGGTATATATCGGCGAATTTTCGTGTTCCGTGGCAGTAACGAGCACACTTGCCTGGCTAGGACCATAGTTAACAGAACGTATTCCCATTATGTAAATTACTTGAGGAAGATAAAATCTATGATTCATGGGGGAACGACAGATGATCACGTTTCGACTACAGAAAATTTTAAGTACTTTAAAGAATCATTAAAATCAGAATTTCTTTTATTATCTTTTACTCGCATACTCGAGCAACATTCTGCTCTTAAGTATAACGAGTACCACATTAACTAGTTTTATGAACCTGTTACAATTGTTACAATATTTACATTCCTGTTATATTAAATTTCTGAAATTCTTTACCTTTTGCCAAAAAATATGGCGAGTTATGAATCATGGCAATTAAAAATCAATTCATAATATATTAAAAATCAAAATTAATTGAATTACATATATGAAAAATTACAAAATTTTGCTATTTTCTTCCATGTCTAACTCCTGATATAAAAATGTTAAATTTTTACAATTTTTATTCACATTATTCACAAAGTATGTATTATACAATTATAATACCCTAATTTTCAAAGTTTTTCCCATTCACAGTGCAAATAAACAACATAATTCGAATACCCAAACTTCCAAGATATTTTCTATAAGAATACTAAATTTTTCCAATTTTCAACCACTTCATCACAACACAAGTAAACACCGCAATTTGTGTACTCAAATTATCAAAGTTTCCTATATAAAACTATCATTCATAATACAAACATCATTTTACTCAAACTGCCAAGATATTACCAAAAAATTCATCAAATTTTTCCAATTCTCAACCATTTCATCACAACACAAGTAAACACCGCAATTCGTGGACACAAATTTTCAAAATTTCCTATATAAAACTATCCAAATTTTGCAATTCTCACCTACTTAAAAATTGATCAAATTTTTCCAATTCTCAACCATTTCATCACAACACAAGTAAACACCGCAATTTGTGGACACAAATTTTCAAAATTTCCTATATAAAACTATCCAAATTTTGCAATTCTCACCTACTTCATTCATAATACAAGCAATCGACATAATTCGAGTACCCAAACTGTCAACACATTCCCAAAAAATTTACCAAATTTTTCCAATTTTCAACAACCTCGTCACAATTCAAATAAATGACGCAAATTGTGTATTCAAATTTTCAAAATTTCCTGTATAAATCTATCAGAATTTTGCAATCCTTATCTACATTACTCATAATACAAACACTCGACATAATTCGAATACTCAAATTGTGAAGATATTACCAAAAATTTACCAAATTTTTCCAATTCTTCACCACCTCATCACAATACAAGTAAACGACGTAATTTCTGTACAAAATTTTCAAAATTTTGCAATTGCCATATACATTATTTATAATACCATCAATCGATATAATTCGAATACTCAAATTGCCAAGATATTACCAAAAATTTACCAAATTTTTCCAATTCTCCACCACCTCATCACAATACAAGTAAACGACGTAATTTCTGTACAAAATTTTCAAAATTTTTCAATTGCCACATACATCATTTATAATACCATCAATCGATATAATTCGAATACTCAAATTGCCAAGATATTACCAAAAAATTTACCAAATTTTCCAATTCTGAGCAATCTCTCGTCACAACACGAGCCTACGAATCTTCTAGCCATGTCGCTCTTGTTTCGAGCAAACCATACGACTGCACGCTCGCGATGACGTGGTTTCCTCGTGGAAATGCAGGCGGTAGACACAGCACGCCGAAGCGTGTGGGCTCGTTCGAAGCGGATTCGGTGAGTCACGCGCCTTTATTTCCGAACGTGCATCCCCATCGTCGCCGGGAAGTCGAGTACGAAATGATTATAACGAGACGCTGAAACTCGATTTCGCCCGTACTCCCGGTCACACGTCGCAGCGGACCGGAAGTCGTTTGCTCGCGGTTTCCGTGGCGCATTCACGATGATACCTAGACGCCGAACCTATTGCATCTACTTTTACCCGAATTTCCACGAAATCTGGTTATTTTAGAAAATAGGCATCGAGTAATTCACGAGTGAAATGTGTCGTTGAGGAAATTAGAATATTAGAGGATTCCTTAGAAAATTGTGTAATTCCGATACTTGTTTACAATTATTTTAGTAGTTCTATATTCAAATTCCTTCTTTTTTCATGAAATAGGGAGGGGGTATAAATTAAAATTGTTTGATGGATTTCTTATTTGAAAAATATTATTTTACTATATGTTTTTAAATTTTTGTAGATAGTTTTGAAGTGATTCCTTGTTCGAAATTATTATTTTATTGGATTTCCTTAAATTTTTCTAAATAATCTGAAGTGATTTATTATTTTCAAATTGTTATTTTATTATAGCTTTCTCAATTTTTATAGATACTTTTGATTCTTTGTTTTGAAATTATTATTTTATTGTACTTTTTTAAAGTTTTGTGTATAATCTTGAAGGGGATATTGGAATTATTATTGGAAAGATAGGAGGTTTGTTTTCAAGCGAAAAATATGACGGGAATAGCTCGCTGTCATGTTTTTTCATTTACAGACGGATAATTGACAAGGGACTGAAGAAGATGGACCTAAAAGGGCGAGTTGCCCTGGTGACGGGCGCCGCTTCCGGTATCGGTAAATCCTGTGCCGTGGAATTATTGAATAAAGGCGCGATGGTAAGTAAAGAAAAGAAAAAATTCTATTTCTAAACTCGAAGAATAAATTAAAATCGGGGTAGAGGAAATATTTTTAAAGAATCCAAAATTTTCTCTCATATTTTTATTCATTTATTTATTTTCATTTTATTACTTTTTCTTTCCCCTTTCTTTAACTGTTTAAACAAAAATACCTGCGCAATTATTTTCCTCAGAAGCTGCAAAATTCTTTCAAAAAATCTTTTCACGAAGAAAAATGTAAACAGAAAACTTCTCTTAAGGAAATTAAAAAATTTCAAAATTTTCTTTTAAAGAATTTAAAAAATTCTAAAATTTTGTCCTAAAGCTATTAAATAATTGCAAAATATTCTCTCAAAGAAATTAGAAAATTCTAAAATCTTCGTTAAAATAAATTTTAGAATTTCAAAAATTCCTAAGTTTCCATTCTATCTTTTCTCACAAAACTTTCACAAAATTCGATTAATAATGGTTCAACGAGGAAAAAAGAAGATGAAATAGTTGAGATAAAAGGGAGAATATCGAGGGAGAAGGGTGATGTTTTCAACGAGGGTGCAATGAAATCTTTACAGCGCAATTTTCATTAAACAAAGTGGCGTTGATACGGGTTTACCCCATAGCACGTAGTACCTATAAAAAGAGCAGTATTAATAGAGGACTAAGGAGAACCTGGAGAGGATGTAGTTATATTTCGCGAAACCTCCTTAAGGATACAACCTTGACTTAGTATATCGTTCCATGAATGTTTCAGTGCTCGAAAATATCCGGATTATATTTAGATCGCTCCCCATCGTAGAAGAAGCTTTATCTCATTTTCTGACCGACTTCCATGCAACAATATTTTCATATTAACGACAGCCATCACGCGTTTTTATCGTGCATTGCGTGCGAAAAATAATTGCGTCCAGACATCAAAGAAATTTCTACCCCCATAACCTTTTACGAATATCTTCCTTAATGAAAAATTCATGAACAATTAACAAGAAAATGAAGAAATTACGAGTTGCTAAAACAATAATTAATTTCACATTTTTGACACTAGAATTTTTATATCAATATCTCTATTTGGAAAAGGGGGAACAAAGTTATCAGAAAATTTTAAACTAAGGATTGCTGAAATACAAATTAATTTTACATCTTTGACACTAGAATTTTTATATGAACATCTTTATTTGGTAAAGAGGGGAACAAAGTTATGAGAAAATTCCAAACTAGGAGTTGCTGAAATACAAATTAATTTTACATCTTTGACACTAGAATTTTTATATGAATATCTTTATTTGGAAAAGAGGGGAACAAAGTTATGAGAAAATGCCAAACTAGGAGTTGCTGAAATACTTATTAATTTTGCATTTTTGATACTAGAATTTTTATATGAACATTTCTATATGAGAAAGGGGGAACAAAGTTATCAGAAAATTCCAAACTAGGGGTTGCTGGAATACAAATTAATTTGACATCTTTGAGATTAGAATTTTTATGTGAACATCTTTATCTGGAAAAGAGGGGAAGAAAGTTAAGGAATTGCTAAAATAGTAATTTATTTTTAAATAAATCCCCATAAAAGATAAAGTGTAGAGGGTTATTAGAAAATTGAAAAGTTTGGGGTTGTGGTATTATTGATCTTGCATTTTTAGTAGCTTCCATTAAGGCAGTTGGGAAGAGTGATCAGAAAATTGAGACACTGAGGGTTGTTGGAGCCTTAATTAATCTTGCATTTTTAACTCCAGAGTTGTGATAGACGTTTCCTATTAAGAAAAGTGGAGGAATGATCAGGAAATTGGAAAGTTGAGATTGAAATTTTAGTTCCCCTTATATTTTTACATCTGGAAATACCAGAGAAATTAAAATACGAGATTTCAAATTCTTCTATCATCTTTGAGAACCTATAGCTTTTTGGCAAAATTAATTTTTAGAACTTCAGAAAGTTTTTTCCCATAACTAGAGGCCTGGTACTTACATTGGCGTACCATTTCGGCAAAAAGATACTGAAAACATCTGTAGCACAGCGTATCCCAGAGAAAAATACAAGAGAAACTATAGAAAACACAATTTCACCATAACACAATTATTTTGGAAAATTTCACCCTGTAAAAAATTGCAAAAATTAAAATTAAATTAAATTATAATGGATTCCGATTTTATTTAGTGGTAATAAAATCAGTATTTCCTCCAAATTATTTTGGAAAATTTCACCCTGTAGAAAATTGCAAAAATTAAAATTAAATTAAGTTATAATGAATTCCGATTTTATTTCGTGGTAATAAAATCAGTATTTCTTCAAAATTTCATTTATTATTTTTCGTAAATATTAGTATTGCTGTAACTGGCTGCTATAGTATACATAAACCATAAAATATATATACTAAGTGCAAAAGTTTAATTTTCTCTTTTATTAATCTGCAAACTTTATATTCTATGTAATTGTAAATTGTGTACGCATTATTATTAACGTGTAATTATGGTTCTAGAATTAAATGGGAAAAATAACTTTTCTCTGTAATAAATATTTGTTTAAATTTCGCGTTTGCTATGTATATTTATATTTATGTTTACACACAGGTGTCTATATGCGACATAAACGCGGAAGAGGGCGAGAAACTGGCGGAAGCTTTGTCCACGGAATACGGAAAGGATTGTGTAATCTTCTGTCACTGTGACGTTACAGACTACTCGCAGTTCGAGGGTAAAGATTCACGAATTTACTACAATTTATTTACATTATATAATTATGTTAATATCAACATTATTATCATTACATATCTCGTAAATTTTATTTTAAAAATTAAATTACGCGATAATACTCTGTGGACAATGAAGTATAATAAATTTTACTATATTCTTATACCATAAATTTTCAATAATAGAAATTTTAATTGTAATATAATTGTAATATATTATACAATCTCATATAATATTTTACTATTACATTTATAATATAATACAATTATAATATGTAAGAATTAATATAAATTCATTATCCACAGTGCACTCGCATGAGTGAATTTTTAAAATAAAATTTACGAGACACCATATATACCTAACTCTGGAAATAATAATACTTATTAATAATATTAACGATACTTACAAACGCGAATTACATTGTTATAATACAATAATAATTTAATTAATTTGTTGCAATATAATATGTAAGAATTTATTATGATACAATTCATTATACATTTTATTTTAAAAATTCAATTACGCAATAGTACTCTGTGGACAATGAAGTATAATAAATTTTACTATATTCTCATACCATAAATTTTCAATAATAGAAATTTTAATTGTAATATAATTGTAATATATTGTACAATCTCATATAATATTTTACTATTACATTTATAATATAATACAATTATAATATGTAAGAATTAATATAAATTCATTATCCACAGTGCACTCGCATGAGTGAATTTTTAAAATAAAATTTACGAGACACCATATATACCTAACTCTGGAAATAATAATACTTATTAATAATATTAACGATACTTACAAACGCGAATTACATTGTTATAATACAATAATAATTTAATTAATTTGTTGCAATATAATATGTAAGAATTTATTATGATACAATTCATTATACATTTTATTTTAAAAATTCAATTACGCAATAGTACTCTGTGGACAATGAAGTATAATAAATTTTACTATATTCTCATACCATAAATTTTCAATAATAGAAATTTTAATTGTAATATAATTGTAATATATTGTACAATCTCATATAATATTTTACTATTACATTTATAATATAATACAATTATAATATGTAAGAATTAATATAAATTCATTATCCACAGTGCACTCGCATGAGTGAATTTTTAAAATAAAATTTACGAGACACCATATATACCTAACTCTGGAAATAATAATACTTATTAATAATATTAACGATACTTACAAACGCGAATTACATTGTTATAATACAATAATAATTTAATTAATTTGTTGCAATATAATATGTAAGAATTTATTATGATACAATTCATTATACATTTTATTTTAAAAATTCAATTACGCAATAGACTCGATTTTTAATGGTATACTAATCGATTTGCATATGCAGAATCGTTTCGAACGACGTTCTCCACATTTGGCCACATCGACATCGTCGTTAACAACGCAGGAATCATGAACGATCGGTTCTGGGAACTGGAAGTCGACATCAACGTCGTGAGTATTTATCTCCAACGCTTTCCCAGCGAATTCTCGGCTCCCTTTTAATTTCCTGATTTATCTGCACGCGGTCTTTGTTGAAATTATTGCAGAATGGCGTGATCCGCGGGACTTTGCTCGCGCAGCGATTTATGGGAACGGACAGGGGCGGCCAGGGTGGAACCGTGGTTAATATCGGAAGCAATGCCGGCATAAACCCTTATGCCAGTGTTCCAATTTACTCTGCCACCAAGTCGGCAATCGTCAACTTCACCAGAGCCATTGGGGTAAATTAATCGCCGTTCGAAAACCACCCTTACGATTTTTATAAAAGGTCCATTTCTATGCACGAATCGTGGAGTAAATACTTTTATCCGAGAATAAAAGAAATATTTATTCTATAATTTATTTATTTATTCATTTTTCGATCTCAACGTTCGTTTATCTTTTTATTCGTCAATATCAGAAAACATGAAAAGTGCATTTCAAGGACAAGTTAGTCGAGAAAAGCCTGACAAAGTGAAGTATTTAGAAGATTGTTTTATAATTGTTCTGAGCTAAGATGATTTGAATTAAATTTAATTTCGACAGGAATTTTTAAGAAACTCTCAATTTTTCATTAGAGATTTTTTCGGCGGGAAAAGAGAGAAGAGTAGATTGGGAGAATACGGGTTAATGGAAATGACGACGTCGTCTTTCGAATTTGAAAGATCGGAAACCGCGGGATCATGTATTGTTGTCGTTTGCCATAGCACCAATTTCACGTGGACTCAACTGGCGTGAAGGTGATGGCATTGTGTCCAAGTGCGACAGATTATAAATTATTAGGAGACGTCAGTAAACAGCTGCTCTGGGCCCGATACGTAGACGCCTGGATCTGTGACGCTGCCAACATAGTTCCTCAAAGGTAATAAATATGATAATATTTCGATTAATATTTCCAATAACAACCTTAAAATATTGCAAAATTATTTATTTACGAAATGGAAAAATATTCCTGTGAAAATGTATTACTATACATACGCGATTATTTATTATTAAATTATTGGCATTTGCGATATTTTAATTGAAACATTTTAATTGTTAATTGTTTACATCGATATACGAATTTTAATATCGGTATTTGCGTATTTTAGAATCCTCTTTGAAATGGAAAAATATTTTTGTGAGATACGAATGTGTTACGATATTACGTGATTATTTATTATTGAATTCGTGATATTTATATTATTTTAATTATCAGTATTTATGCATTTTAGAATCTTCTTTTAATAACATAATAACATAATTTATAACTGTATAAGATTCTCCGAGAAATTTTAATTATTAGGTTATTTTTAATTAATAGTAAACGATAGCTTGTTTTATCTTGTTTTTTAAACATTGTTGACAAATATGAGGAAAAATATTATTTATTGATAAATTATATATAAATAGGCAGTTACAGCTTTATAAATATGCCAACGATCAATAAGGCACTCGGCTTCAGATCTACCGGGTGACATAAAATTACTGAATATATCCCCTTTCAATGGTCCAGTTAAATCTAATTGCAATCCGAATTATTGAGATATTTAAAAATAACTTCCTACAAATCCAATCGATTTTCACAGAATTTTCAGACACAAAAATTTTAACTAAATATAGAATTCTTTTATAGTGTGCCTATTTTTTAAAATTTCAACAAAATTATTTAATTCTTTAGCTATCTTTTTCAATTCTCCCTGTGAAACGTATCTCTTTACTTCGACACAAATCCTTTATTAATACAATTAGCACGTGCTTTATCGAATTAAAAAAAAATTCACGAAATTTATGAAATATTATTAATATACGTATATCATAAAAGTCTCCATACGAAATTCTGTGAAGATTTTTAAGAAAATAATTTTTCTTTTAAATTTCCAACGAAATTTTTTGAAATATAGCTGTTTTATCAACAATGCAAAATTTTTCAGAGCGGAGCACGTGGCTCAGGCGTTGATCCAGATCCTGGACACAGGCAAGAGCGGAAGTGTGTGGCTGGTGGAGAAGGAACAGCCTCCTCACGAGATCACATTCCAGAAGAACTAAGATCCTGATTGGATCCTCTCTCGCTTGAATACAGATAACTGCCGTACCATAATCGCGATACTGTACCGAGGTTATAATTCACAACCGGCGAAACGTCTCTCTCCCTCTCTCCCTCTCTCTCACTCGATCAATAACACGAAGAAGAAAGGCAGAGGGGAAACAATCGCGTGAAAAAGCGGCTAAAGCTTTCGTACGTGGGTCACTTCCGATTTCACCGGAAACCGCAACAGCTACTCGATGGATCGAGGTGTGAGAGAGCGTGCGAGGACGTGCGGGAACATGATTACGCATTTAGGTTTAGAGGAGCGACAGTCGCTTTACCAAAGATTACGGAAGACAGTTTGTATGGTGAAAACGACCTTTTCTTTGTTCTTATGCGTTCGTATTAAGTCTAAGAGGAACAGCGTCCGTTCAAACAATATGATAATTTAACGCAGGGCCGTACTTATACCTTTGAAGACCCTAGCAAGGTGTTCAAATGAAAAATATTCAATTTTCTTACCATTAGTTTCCATTCAACAATTTATTCCAATGAAACGAAAAGAAAATATTGGCATACACTTATCTAATTTACAGAAAATTTTAAATCGAAAGTCGATGTTTCTATAATAATTTGTTTTAATTAAATAAGAAGAATTTTCATTTTATTTTTCATTTATGAATAGATCTTTTTGTATGTGAAATTTATAAATACGGCCCTGATTAAGCGTGTTCCTCGATGTTCCCATTTTCCTCAATGGATTTTATCTTCCAAGAATTTTAACACGTTAAACGCTGTGCCATTAAAAAATATGTTTGCGCGGTTTTTAAATCATTTTTATCGACACATTGAAGACAAAAATGAGGTTTCCCTTTACAAAACTTCCGAAAGTTCGCGAACAGATTTTTTTTGTATTCACTGTATCCAGGGAGGAAAATGGCGACGGGTCGAAGGGTCGAGTAAGTCGTGCGAGTGAATTATGAGTCGGTTAAGTGACATTTCGGCGAAGAATTAAGTACGGGGATTTGCAAGCTGATTATATAACGTCTCGACGATGTGAAAAGCCGACGTTTCGGATTTTATATATCTCAACAATCGCCATATGTTCCCGTAAGACACGATACTTTGTAAGATATTTCCTCGATGATCTTTTTTTTAATTATGTTTGTCACGCGACACTGCAAGACAGGTTTACCGAGGATCTTCTCGAACGATTGTAAAATCGAAGACCTTTGCTTAGATAGTCATGTACAATGGTTCGTAGTACACTTAAGGAGGTTGTATAGTGGACTTTTCCACGCCATTTCTAAACCCTCGAAACCACGAGTATCCAATTTTTTAATAGTACACCGACTAGGTATTTTTAATCGAAGTTTTAGACTACACTTTATTCGATATCTTTTTTTCTTTTCTCATACAGCAAGTAAAATTGCGTATTATTGACAATTCTTATCTAAGATTGTGTGAAAATACGTAATTTTAATCTGGATTGTTCGAAAGAGAGAAAAAAAAAATCGGACGAGGTTACGACACTTGAGCTAAAGTTAAAAGTTCTCGAACAAGCGACAAGCGTTTCTTTCTTTTTCTATGTTAGGCTTATAGAAGTGTAATAAGGCAGAAACGGTAGAAAAGATTTCGAGCAAGCAATTAATCTTTTCTCGTGGCCCAGCAGTTCGTTTGTAGCTCAAACTTAAGTACTTACCTGAAACGAAACTGTCCAATTCGCAATATGGATGTAAGCAATCGTATATTTGGATATACTAATAGCGAGTATTTAGAGAAATCGATGGTACGTTCACGAAAAATTAGGCGTTTAAAGTTTTTCGAAATTTTCTACACGCCTTTTTCTAATCACAGTTCGATCGTAGATCACGCGTAATAACATCAGTGACTCGACACATCCAGTCCACTATTTTAAATCGATACGAAATATTCTGATAATGTATCCAAGACGAGGAAAATTCATTCCATCCATAAGATACAATTTTTCTACGAGTTTACAAAACGAAGCGATAATCACGAGATTGAGCGTTCACGTCTGCGACCAGTTCGTGAAAATCATCGGATAAAAATACTCAGCGTTCATCGGGCACGGCGAGTTTGCTCGATATTTTCACGCTTCCCTCATCGTTCGACAAATACAAGCACAAGACGAAGTGTGAACACGCAAGTCGTTTCGTAAACACGCGAATCCAGCCAGCACAACGAATGGATGAAGTCGAAGGATCGAACGTCTTTGAGAAACAAGGTCGATCATGGAGCAAGAGGGAGTCGATCGAAACGATTTAACCGAGATCGCGAGCATAATCGTGCGCGTAATTTTTCTACGAACTTTTAAACTTCGAGCGACCAACGGGAATAGAAGAAACGAACAAACATAGGTTTAGATACGAATCGAGGCCTAAACTCGGTGTCTTCGACGTACAAGTCACAATTATTATGCATTTTAATCGTCCATTCTTCGATCGAACGTCCTTAGATTCTCGTCGCGGCTTCTGTTCGGACGATTATACTCTGTCCGAAGTCGAGCGATCGTTCAAGGCCGTTCGAGAGACTGTCCCCAACACCGAGCCGCGCAGACACGACGGAGAGCGGTGATTAGTCGCAGCGTAACGGAGTCGCCTTTCACTCGCGGTCGTGGTGGTGGGGGGCGCGAGTTTTCGCCAGTGGTCGAAGTAGTCGCGCTTGAGCCGTGCACCGTAGCGCATCTAGCTGTCTATGCACACTAAAGTATATCGTACTGCGTCGATCTCTATGGTCGCAGCGAAGTAAAAATTTAGAATTCGTTTCCTTTCATCAACTATCTTTTATCTACGTCTTAATTTTTAATTGTTTATTCTTTTATCTTTTACAATTAATATAATCTTTTATTCTTTTATCGTTGATGTAATCATTCTATTCTTTTACTTAGTATTTTTACGATTGATTTACCTCTTACTATTGGTATCGAAGAACGTTAATAAACCTGTTAAGAAGATATATTAAGATCGGTATCAGAAGAAGTATTGCGAAGAGATACTAATGTGCACGCGAGTTGAAATCGATACTGTATTTTGAAACCAGGAAATTGATGCGGACTTTGCAGTATCTTTAATCGTGTATAGATCACTTTAAAGTGACGACCTCGAGATCCTTATTAAATTGAAAATTGACTCGATCATATTTTGCATGAAAATTCGAGGATATCGATTATTCGAATATTTAATAATAATGGTCTGGAATGGTCGATGGATTTTTGAGAGATTATAATGGTCCCTCGAATTAGTGGACGATCGGAGGAGCAATAAGAGGATCTACAGGACTCAAGGTCGAAGATCAACAGCACATTCGAATATAACATTGCGTAATCGTAATCGACGGCACGGTCGGTAGCTAGTGGAAATTGTTGGTTTTGTTATGATTTGCTCGGAATGTATGTTGCAAGCCTAGCCAATAAAATGCATAGCTTTTTTTTACAAAAAAGGATATGGTAAACGAAACTTCTTCCCATAACTAACATTATCCTTTACAAGGTTTATTTTCAGAACTAATTTTACCTTTCACACGAAAGTTTCCTAATTTTCATTTTAAAAATCGAAAGCTTAAACCATATTTATTACCTCAAGGTTATTAATACAATACGAACAAAAAATATATTTCGTCGAATTTTTGTGCAAAGAAAAATTCGAGAGAAAAACGAACGTCAACACGTGTCATTGACACGCACAAAATGTAACTTCCGGTTCAACTTTCGGCTAAAATTCTTCCAAATTCCTGTATTATATTTACCCAATTTTGTTCTTATTATTTATGCTATCGTTCGTCAATTCTATCCCCTTGATAATACAAAATTAATAGGGAGAATTACAAGGGAAGATTGTAAGTCTCGAACGGCATGCAATCGCAATGCTTAACCTCGTTTTTCTCCAACCTTCTGAATAAGAGTCCAAGGTAAGCTACTCGCGAACGTGATACTCTCCCTCGTAAGTAATCGCTGCGGAATACGTGTTCGTCTTCTCGTTTTCAAAGAGCATATTTAATTCTCCCTTAGTTTTCCGCTCGATCAGAGGCTCAACTCTGTTCTGTCATTTCAGAAGTCTGTGGAAGATCAAGCGGTGTCAATTTCACGCGACTAGTGTGGCGTGTCGGAAGAAGAAAAAGGGTGAACAGAAAGGCTTGAAAATAATAAAGCCTGGCAACGGGTGAATTTATATCTTGAATTTATGTCAATGCTTATTTCTTCGCCATCTCTTCGGATATTTTATTTTTATTTACAACAATTTTGGCAAAATTCATTTTTCAAATTTCAAATTTTTATCAAGATTAAAATTATTTATTATTATATTTATTATATTTACTATTATTTATTATTTATTATATTTACTATATTTATTATTATTTATTACTATTATATATATTTCACTTTACGTGAGATACTATCTGCCTAGGAATTGTAAAATTTGATTATAGAAATGAATTAATAATATTTCTTAGGTCCATTTTCAATTGAAATTTTTATGGAATTTTAGCGCTAATTTACCTCAACCTATTCTCGAGCCTTCCTGTAAAAATGCTATAGTGATTGGTGGATCTGAGGGTTTCGGTTTCGCAGCTGCTGATCATCTTTTATGCAAAGGAGCACGTGTTAGTGTCTACTATTAATTAATACGAATTAATTTATTTTCAGAATCAATGATTTATGATATTACTGATACAAAATATAATCAAAATGAACTTAATCGCGATAATACTATCACTTAATTATTTCATTTTATAAATTCACGAATTTTTCTGATTATATCTTTGAAAAATAAAAATAAAATTCATCGAATAAATTATAATTCGTTGAAAGAAACAGAAAAATTTGATAAGATTGTGGAATATAGGCTGTCGCGATAGCCGACGATGATCCTGTTCAAGGACAGATAGCAGTGAAGAAATTATGCGATTCTTATGGGAAGAATAGCGCGTACTACGTTCCTTATGATCTCAGAAGCGACTGCATCGTTGAAAGTAAATCGATAAATAATGATTCGTTACTTATTTGAATTTTTAAAATACGGAAAAATTCTAGTTTAATCATATTTTAGTTGGGCTGAAAGAAGCTCTCTGCAAGCTCAGTGTGATCCACATTATTTTTAACGATCTTGACAAAGAGAGACTGCCAGAGAAGGATCCAGTTGTCAAGAAAGACAAAGTTTGTAGTGAAAATAAATAACTTTCACCCTTTACAACATCATGTTAATTTGGAAATTATTAACCAATCTGTCTACATAATTTAAAAAAATGTTTTCCTATCCTTATTGTTAATTATGGAAAAGAATTGGTTATGAAGGATGAAGGAAAAATTGAATTTTTGTGGACGACGAAGATGGAGAATTTGATGGAAAATCTTTTCAGAGCACAACGGCTAGAATGATTCGAGCAAGCCTGAGTCTTTTAGGAAGGAATCACGGTGGCCCTGGTGGAATTATAGTAAGCTGTGCCAGCATCTTTGGCTTCATGGGGTGGCCTGAGAACCCGTTTCCGGTTTACTGCAACAAGGAACCTGTTATAGAAGTCACGCAGGACTTGGCGGTACTCTTGACTAATTAAAAATTAAATTATTCACCTTATTACCTTGATATTAATAACAATATATTAACTACTCTATTATTCCTATCCATTTTATTATTAGTAAAATGTTATTAATATTAATGTCAATTTTATTATTATTTTAAAATATCATTATGAATATTACCCACTTTATTGAAGTATCAATATTGGTATCATGTTCTTTACTAAAATTAAGATATTAATAATTATTATCGAAATTAATATTATTAATATTTCTGTCCATTTTATTATCATTTTAAAATATCATTATGAATGGTAGCCATTTTATTCAACCATCAATATTGGTATCATGCTCTTTACTAAAATTAAGATATTAATAATTATTATGGAAATTAATATTATTAATATTTCTGTCCATATTATTGTTGAAATTAATATTATTAATATTTCTGTCCATTTTATTATCATTTTAAAATATCATTATGAATGGTAGCCATTTTATTCAACTATCAATATTGGTATCATACTCTTTACTATAATTAAGATGTGAATTACTATTATCAAAATTAATATTATTAATATTACTGTCTATTTTATTCTAAAATATTATGATGAATGTTATCCACTTTATTCAACTATCAATAATTAAGACGTGAATTATTATTATTAAAATTAATATTATTAATATTACTATTTATTTTATTATCATTCTAAAATATCATAATGAATATTAATCACTTTATTCAATTATCAATATTGCCATCATACTCTTCACTATAATTAAGATATGAATTATTATTATCAAAATTAATATTATTAATATTATTGTCCATTTTATTATCATATTAACCACTTTATTCAATTATCATTATTGCCATCATACTCTGTCATGATTAAAATATCATTATATCTTAATACTATCTCCATTGGCCTCGTTAAAAGATTATTATCGATATTTCTCGCTTTATTATCGTGATCGTTAAATCACCCGCGTATTATCCATCAAATTTTCAACAACAACACTTTCTTCCTTAACAAAGCAAGAACGTAGTGCAAGGGAGACAGGAGTTCGTCTAGTGGCCCTTTGTCCAACGAACAAGAATTTCCCCAATTTGGGATTGTCACTTTACCCAGAACCTACTTCAAATAAAAGGACAAACGAGACGCCAATTTGTATTCCAGAATCGTAAGTGACAAATTTAATACAAATTTAACAACAATAATGAATAAACGAGTGAATCACGTTTAAAAAATTTGGAATAATTGAGTCACGAGGACACGTGTTGCCAGGAAAAGTCACATAGGAACAGCCTTGAGCTACGTATTAGCCTGGGCAGAGACCGGAAGTACGTGGCTGGTGGAACCACCATCCAGTGTCTATCGAGTTCCTAGACAGATCCATTTCCCGAGGAAGTCAGGCGAACAAGTGGATCCCAGAATCTACGAGCACGAGGTAAATTTTATTTTTTGATATAGTACATAATTGATAATATAATATAAAAATAAGCAAATTTTATGAAAAATTGTAGCCCTGCTCGGTGAGATTAGGACCACCATGCGTGAAAGTTACCAAAAAGTGTATGCCAACGTGGAGACAAATGTGTAGATCGAAGAAGATGAAAGAGGATAAAAGCTCCCCAAAGCGAAAATAATTTACAAAAATAACGAATTATAACAATGTGATTAAACTGTATCTAATATATTTAAAGGAAGTTACGTTAAACACACCATCGATACTGTTTCTTCTCGTTACCATAAATAATTAAATTTGTCGTTATACGAAGCTATGAAATGGGAAAGGAAATTCACACTGTGTAGGATTACATAATTTTTGTAAATTAAATTAATCCGCTTACTTGGAGTGTCGTGAGATACCCGGTTTCCAAAATAACAGATATCGTGAGCACTGGACTCTTTATTTATTATTTACCATCAAGCTAAATGCTTGGTAATATACAACGTGATAACTGTGGGTCGAATCAGTCGCCATATTTGATATTTTAATGTAATATACTCGTTAAGACTGTTTTAATAAACCGGTCTTAATTTTCTTCGATTTTTGACTCCCTTTTGAACGTCTGTGTTTTGTATGGCTTATTTCTCTTTTTATTTTGAAAAAATTTTAGTTTTTAAAACGCAGACAGATTTTCCTCCATTTCCTGGCATTTTCTAGGAATTCTTTATAGCCACCCATTGAGAAACTCTGTTTCTAAATTTATGGGATTAAAATAATTATTTTGGAATATTGAAAATATCAAAATTATTAGGCACATTAAAAATACTAAATAATAAATACTAAATATCTTAAAAGTATTAAAGATATTAAAAATATTAAAGGTATTAAAAATATTAAAAATATTAAAGATATCAAAAGTATTAAAGGTATTAAAAATATTTTCGATTTCGATCACAAGATTCTCCAAGCGTCACGAGCGATATTAAAGATCAATTACTAGTCGAATGTCACTCGATACCAAGTTCGACATTGCATAATTCCAGAATTACACGCATAATTCGTGCCGCGAAAGCGATCTATCAAAATTATCACTAGCATACACAAATGCTTCGAGATTAAGACTGTCATTAATCACTTTTACATAAAGATAACGACACGACCATACTGTGTCATTCTCAAGTTTTTCTTATTCAACCTCAGACATACCATGTGTCCTGTTTCAAATTTTCATTGAAATTTTATTCCACAATTTCGAAATTTAGAATCATATTCTATTGTTCTGTTTTACATATTATTCTATTGTATTTATATCAAATTACGTGATAATATTGTATTAAATTTTATTACATCGAATATTATTGTATTTTATTAAATTATATTATTTAATCCTGTATTACTCGTATTACGATTTGCATTATTTATTATTATTCGCATTATTGCTTGTTTGATTTTGTATTATATTTTATTGTACAGTATTGCACGATGGACTGGATTATATAGCATAATATCGTATTATATCGATACCTGTCAAACACTGTCAAATATTATCTATCAAGCATTGTGTTAATCACGCTATCAACAAAAGCCTCGCATAAAGCCTCACTTGTCAGTAGCAGCCTCTTGCGAAACCGAGATATCCCGAGATGGGGTGATTAAATTTGTCGAAGGCAAATAAAAAGTTACGATTTAACGAAGACAACTCAGTTAAAGAAACATTTTTACAACGTCTTCGTAACTTTCGTTCCTGCTTTTCCTTCGCAATTGTGTCACAGTGCAGACAGAGTCTGGTTCATGAACCCTCAGCATTGTATTCAGCCTGATACACACGAAGACACAATTTGACTCTTGCCCTCTCGTTAAATCCCTGATAACGCGAGAATACAGCGCCAACGATTGTCCCAATAATAGTTCGTTTGACCAGTGATAGTTGCAAGAAAGGTACAACAGGGTTGAAAGTAAGAAGGAAGAGGAAGAGACTCTGGAATCGCTCAGGATGACCGTGAAGAACTCGATTGCAGTGATCACTGGAGGAGCAAGTGGCATTGGCCTCAGCTGTGCAGAGCAGTTTCTACTAGAAGATGCCAAGGTAACTCCATATATTGTAGAAATTTTGTAGATCACGGAGTGCAAAATTTGCTTTGGATCATTCGAAAATTTAATTCATTAAAATTTTTGATATTTTATATATTTGGGTCTCTGGATTATTTAATAGAATGCAGAATGATGCATATTTGGGGCCTCAGAATTATTGCAATTGGAACTCAAAATGAGTGACGAAATTAACAAAACGAGGAATATCAAAGAAATTTTGTTGATCACAGAGACCTAAGTTTACTTTGGATCATTCGAAAATTTAATTCATTAAAATTTTCGATATTTTATATATCTGGGTCTTTGGATTATTTAATAGAATATAGAATGATGCATATTTGGGATCTCAGAATTATTGCAATTGGAGCTCTAAATGAGTGACGAAATTAACAAAACGAGGAATATCAAAGAAATTTTGTTGATCACAGAGACCTAAGTTTACTTTGGATCATTCGAAAATTTAATTCATTAAAATTTTCGATATTTTATATATTTGGGTCTCTGGATTATTTAATAGAATATAGAATGATGCATATTTGGGGTCTCGGATTTGTTGCAATTCGAGCTCAATATGAGTTTTGTTTAACTAACAAAATGAGGAATATGATAGGAATTTTGTTGATCACAGAGACCCAAGTTTACTTTGGATCATTCGAAAATTTAATTTATTAAAATTTTCGATATTTTATATATTTAAGTCTCTGGATTATTTAATAGAATATAGAATGATGCATATTTGGGGTCTCAGATTTGTTGCAATTCGAGAACAAAATGAGTAATTTAACAAACAAAACGAGGAATATCATAGAAATTTTGTATATCACAAAGACCCAAGTTTACTTTAGATCATTCGAAAATTGAATTCATTAAAATTCTCGATATTTTATATATTTAAATCTCTGGATTATTTAATAGAATATAGAATGATGCATATTTGGTATTTAAAGAACAAAAACGAGGAATATTCCAATTTTCCTGTACAAATATTATTATATAATAGATATTTCGGAAATTCCACTATTTTTGTGAATTTTGCAAATTCCATTGCAAATAAATCAACAAGAACGAGTTAAATGGATTATATAATATAATACACAAAATCTGAACAAGTCAAATGAAAATTGATTTAATACCTATGTAATATAATTTTAATTGTCTTTTAATTAAAATAACAAAAAAAAAATAGCAAAAATTGTAGTATTTCGCGGAATATGGAGCAAATAAACTAAACATGAAAGAAGATTTGTATAACCTACATTGCAATATAAGATAAGGTTCTCCAAGATAAAATATCTAAATATCTAGCAATTTAATAAAACGTTCGAATCTGTCTTCGTTAATCCGTCTAAATATTTAAAATAATTTAAAGTATTTAAAAGAAGATATCAAAATTTTCTAGTTCATTGCAATTTTGGATTTACCAAGCACAAATGCAGAGGACGTGGTCGCGAAACTGAAGAACCAATTTGGCCAGGATCGCGTGGGTTTCTTCCCCTGTGATGTCACGAAAGACGATCAGGTGAATTGTGAGTATTTGCGCAAATTCCGACTCATTTTGAAAATTAACCGAAATTTCATTTAAACAGCAAGCTTCGACAAAATTGTGGAGTCGTTAGGAAGCTTCGACATACTGATCAACAGCGCGGGAATTCTGTCCCGTAAGGATAAATGGGATGTCATGGTGAACGTGAATGTAGTAAGTGAAAATTGAGAAACATTTTCCAAAATTAAAAGAGACCTTCCAAAATTAAAAATTAGAATTCAATATTTTAACAATTAATACAAATGGACACTTTTTTAAAAACTAACGACACCAGTACCCTTTCTGCAGTCGCTTATTATAGATAAATCTAAATTCAAATTTAAACAAATTTCCTTAAAAATTTGTATTCGCTGTCAAAAATGTATAATAAAACAGGAACATGATGATATACATACAAATGACGAAGATTCGTGAATTTTGGAATTCTCCAAGCTCGAAATTGTCTTTTCCTAGGCTCCAAAGCTTCGACGTTAATTCACCCCTATTTATTATCTTCATCTATACTTCTAAATATATTTCAAATACTTTGATAATATCAACCCTTTGCACTCGAGAGGCGACTCTCATTTAATCGGATTCTAAAAATCGTTATTAATTAATATCTCGAATTTAAAATTGCCCAAAGACGCGTGGAACATCGAGGTAAAATAATTCTACTATTATCATTGTTGATTTAATTATTATCGTTAATTTGCACTTCTTATTTACCGTTTTGAAAATATCGTCGACATTATGGCAGAAGGTCTTCGAATTCTTATGTTTCCATAACGAAAAGATCGCCGAGTGCAAAGGGTTAATTTCGCGATTTTTATTTTAAATAAATTCAGAAAGCAAGTTAATTCATTTTTACTGTAGGATATTTTTAGACACCGTTAAGGCACGATAAGCGAAGTGTTCCTATAGGGAACACTTTGCCAGTTATAGAGGTCCCGTTATAGTCTTGCGGCCAGATGAGTCTTAGGAAGTCAGGGCTAGGCCATAGGAGGTAGCCTCGCGCAATCCCGGCTTCCTCCATTGTAAACTGAGGGTGACGCGTCCGCGGTTACCTCTTGGGAAGGGTCCCCGCGTGGGTGATCCTTCAGACAGCCTAACCTGAAGGAGCGAAGGAACCCTTCTACCTCCTTCGGGAGAGGCCCTTGCCTCTCAGACGGGCTTAAAAGGGCCCGCTTTGGAAGATAGAGGCAGAGTTAACATAGTCTTAGAGCGAGTTATTGCGAGTTATTGTAGAGAGTTGCGTTCAGTAAGAATTGAGTCGAAAATACAGACTGAAACCAATCCAGTCCCTATTCTGCAGTAAATCTGAGTATTCGAAGTACTCTCCAGCGAAGTAGAGACTGTGTAACTCTACGTTATTAATTATTATTAATTATTATTGCAGACCGGACTCACTCGCACGACTATTAAAGCCATCGACCTGATCGGCAAGCATAATGGCGGTAAAGGTGGCACGATCGTGAACATAGCGTCCATAGCTGGCTTCGTGCCTGTGCCAGTGTTACCCTGTTACGCTGCGACGAAACATGCCGTCGTTGGATTCACCAAAAGCTTATCGGTGAAAGAAATGTCCAAATTCGCTTAGTAATTAACCGCTTGACTACTGTGGGCGCCTATGGGCGCTTAAGAATTTTGCGTTTGTGACACAAAGGGCGCCTATGGGCGCTTAAAAATTTTGCATTTGTGACACAAAGAGCGCCTATGAGCGCTTAGAAATTTTGCATTTGTGACACAAAGGGCGCCTATGAGCGCTTAGAAATTTTTCGTTTGTGACACGGAGGTCGCCTATAAGCGCTCGGTGTAGTTTAGCTTTCTGACACGGAGGGTGCTTGTTTTCACAAAAATGGCGGACATCGTATCTCGATTCGTATCGTATGATATGGCCGCTGCGTATCAAAGTGTTCCGTAGTCAAGGGGTTAATACTCGTGTTATACGGTATCCATGTTTGCAGTATCACTATGAAAAAACTGGCGTACGAATGATGATGGTGTGCCCCGGCAGCACGATTACCCCTATGTCCATAAATCTGGACCAGGATATGGGCTTGAGTTTTGTCAGTGAAGATGAGGTTATTGACTTCAAGAATCAACAAATCAAGCAGCCGTATGTATCTTAATAGTAGAATTATAAGTCTGTAATGTGGGTATATGTATATGTGGGTAATAGTAATTGATGCTTTATGATGAAAATAATTAAGTATATATGTATACATGTGTGTGTATAGTTGCTTCATTGTAAGTTAAATAATTGTATTATATTATATTGTATTATTAAATTGTGTTATTAACTTAATTTTTAGATTATAATTAGATAATTGTATACTGAGGGCAATGGTCCGTTTAATAAATAAAACAAAATAAATAAATAATTATAATATATTATATCGTTAAGTTATGTTATTATTTGTTTTGTTCTGTTTTGTTTTATTTATTAAACGGACAATTGCCCTTAAAGTACAATTATCTAATTATAATTTAAAAATTACTTCGCTTTTACTTTTTCATTTATTCATCTTCGAAATTTTCAGATATTTAGAGATTTGTAAGAATTTTTATTAGTATAGTGTGTATATGTAGGTAATAATAATTGAAGCATTATGATGAAAATAAGTGTAAATTCAATATCATTTAAATAATTATATTATATTATTAAATTATGTTATTAACTTTATTTTTTAGATTATAATTAGGTAATTGTACACTGAGGGCAATGGTCCGTTTAATAAATAAAACAAAACAAATAAATAATTATATTATATTATATTATTAAATTATGTTATTATTTGTTTTGTTTTGTTTATTAAACAGACAATTGCTCTCAGTGCACAATTATCTAATTATAATCCAAAAATTATTTCGCTTTTATTTTTTTATTTATTCATCTTCGAAATTTTCAGGTATTTAGAGACTTACAAGAATTTTCATTTTTTAATTTCGTTTAATTTTTATCGATATCTTACATTCGCTTTTATTTTTTCATTTATTCATCTTCGAAATTTTCAGGTATTTAGAGACTTATAAGAATTTTTATTCTTTAACTTCGTTTGATTTTTACCGATATTTTACATTCACAGGCCAGAGTACGTGAGCAAAGCGATGGTGCAATTGATCGAAAAAGGGGAAAATGGCGCTGTATGTATGGTATACGATTGCGAACCACCGTACCTCCTGAAAGTTCCTACGTTTTATGACTTAGTGAAGAGTCCTTTGTAAATCCACCTCTTGTTTGAAAATTTCTTTATTCAAAGCGAAAGAGAAGGAAAATACAGACTTTTAAATCACCATTTCGAGTATTCATTTTAATACATATTTCTAATGTTCTATTCGAATATGTAAACTCACATAAATTAAATATGTCTGCCATTACGTTCACAATTTAAGGATATCCCTGAAATTTTTACACTGCCTATAGAGAAGATAATAATTATTTAGAAATTGATCAACAGTGGAACTATTAATGTACATATTGCATATTTATCGAAGATATAAATTACAACAAATTCTTATGTTTGAAGACTGTGAATCACTGTACGTTTTGTATAACAAAAATTTCAAAGAAATTTTGCACGATAAATTAAAGAATGGAAACTTATATAGTATGATATATAATAAATGTATAAAGTGAATAAATATAATAGAAACTCGATAACCCGAACCTATTTAATATTTTTAATCCTGAGTTAACTTGAACTCGAAATTTTCTTTTGTCCAATTCTTGTTAATTTTCATACCTAAAATATAGCTATTTATTGATCAAAAAGTTACGAAAATGGAAGCAAATTTTGAGTAGTGTTTCGAAGTATTAATACATACGTATATGGTTAAGTATGAATTATGAATTATGTAGGATAAAGTCTAGAAGAATAAAATTAAACAACACGACACTAGCTGTGCTTTTATAAAGCTTCGGGATATTAAATTTTCGAGTTTTAAGCTACTTTTACTCAAAAATCTCGATAAATCGAAACCTCTATAATTCGAAGGTTCGAGTTATCGAAGTTCGATAGTAATTTCTAATAGATTTTAAAAAATTACGAAAATGGAAGCAAATTTTGAGTAGTGTTTCGAAGTATTAATACATACGTATATGGTTAAATATGAATTATGAATTATGCAGGATAAAGTCTAGAAAAATAAAATTAAACGACACGACACTAGATGTGCTTTTATAAAGCTTCGGGATATTAAATTTTCGAATTTTAAGGTACTTTTACTCAAAAATGTTGATCGTAATTTCGAATAGATTTCTATGAAAAATGAGAAGAATTATTTGACTCTGTGTCTTTCCGATTGAATAAATTATTGCATATATGATTAAAAATGTTTGGAGATAAAAGATAAACGAAATAATCTTTAGAAGACAAAAATCTGGCGTGAAATAATCGTCTTAATTTAATGCATAATTAAATACGACAAATTATGCTCGATTACTTTTTCAAATTGTCGATAACGTACGAAGCAAATTTTTATTTTTCATTTTATCAAACTTAAATTAAATTTCGAATCAGGTCTAATTACGAGTTAAAATCTAGAACAAAGATTCCTTTTTTCATTTAAACTTTGTCACGATATTTCATAGAATATCTTTATATTGAATTCTTATCTTTATCTTTTACCGCGAGATATCGTGCTCTCGCATGCAGTTGCAGAACTTTCCGCAGGAAAAAATTCCAGGAGGTAGAAAACAAAATGACATTATCGCTGAACTAATCAATTTCGTATTAACATATTTAATATAATATTTTACTTACTGAAAAAGATGACACGACCAATGACCCATGACAACCCATCGAGCTTTCCAAGACAAATCTACTTGTGGATGCAGACTCAGCTTATCTGTCATGCTCGTTGAGTGTTTTTCCTGTTCGTGTATTCGTGCAAAATCGTCGAGTAAGACGAATTTTTTGCGACAAATATTGTAATAAATATTATAAAAATAGCGCCTAATTCAAATTCTACAAATTCTCTATAAATAGGTTAGAAAAGTTACAAAATCTCAATGCGATTTATATAGAAATGCAGTTAGGTGACACTATAAATCATTATATAGATCTATTTACTTAGATCTCTACCGAAGAAGATCTCTTATGAGAAAGAAAATATCCCCAAAATAGGAAGTATTAAGAACCCATTCATTGTAAAGGAAGAAAATTAAAAGATCTGAATACTTCCAAAAAAATTTTAATTTCACAAAGAACAGAAAGAAATTTGGAAAATTACAAAATCTCAACATCTAGAAAATTCTGTACTATATACCAGAACAGTGATCTATAATTAATAGAAACAAAGCCTTTCCATGGAAAAACCTCTCAAGTAAAAGGAGGTATTCCAAAATGGCTATTAGTAAGAATCCCCATGGGTTCTTTTAAGAGAAAAATTCGAAAAATTGCAAAATCTCAATATTTCCAAGAAAATTCTCATCTTCGATTCAAAAAACTTTACTAAACATCAGCACAATGATCTATAATAAATAGAAATGCAGCCATGTCATAGAAAAATCTCTTAAGGAAAAGGAAATATTCCAAAAAGGAGACTATCAACAACCTCACTAATTTCTTAGACAAAATAATTCGAAAAATTCCAAAATCCCAAAATTTCCGAGAAAATTCTTATCTCCGACCCAAAACACTGTGCTAAGTATTAGTATAATGATCTATAATAAATAGAAACACAGTCATCTCATAGAAAAGTCTCAAAAGGAAAAGGAAATATTCCAAAATGGAAACTATCAACAACCCCACAGATTTCTTAGACAAAATAATTGGAAAATTTTCAAAATCCCAATATTTCCGAGAAAATTTTTATCTCCGATCCAAAACACTCTACTAAATATCAGCACAGTGATCTATAATAAATAGAAATGCAGCCATCTCATGGAGAAATCTTAAAAGGAAATATTCCAAAATGGCGACTATCAAGATCCCCATTAATTCCACAGACAAAAAAATAGGAAAAATTTCAAAATCCCAATATTTCCAAAAAAATTCTCATCTCGGATTCAAAACACACTATTAATTATCAGCACAGTGATCTATAATAAATAGAAACGCAGTCGTCTCATGAAAAAATCTCTCAAGGAGAAGGAAATATTCCAAAATGGAGACTATCAAGAACCCCACAGATTTCTCAAATAAAAAAATTCTAAAATCTCAACATCTCTAAGAAAATTCTCATCTCCTTCCCAAAACACTCTACTAAGTATCAGCACAGTGATCTATAATAAATAGGAACGCAGACGAGTAACTGAATAAACGGACAGAAATAAACAGCGGTGTGCGGTGCCACCTCGTGCCGAATTTTTTTCCAATCGATCGGCGTAAATTCGATCCTGTTTACCCGCGGATCCCGTGGTCACGTTACCCATCAGATATCCGCGAGACATTCAATCTCGTACGATTGATTCTCGATTTCTCGTGTTTCATCGGGCCGCCGCGTCGCCTTGCGCCCCGATCGCGGCGATATATTCGCTCGGCGAGGTTTCGCGCGTGCACGCCGCTGAAACCACCGTACCTGGGCCCGGTGTTCGAAATAAAACAGAGCCAGGATCTTGCACGCCGGTCTGAACATGAGCATCGAGGGTAAGATCACGATCGTGACCGGCGGCGCGAACGGGATCGGTTTCTGCACGGCGCGCAAGCTGCTGCGCAACGGCGCCAAGGTAATTCGCATTCGTTTCGTCCAGTTTTCGAACTTGGCATTTCGAGCATTAGGATTCGGCATCCTAACTTCCGTCATCGGGATTGCACATCCGGAGTTGACGTGTTTCAGGCCGTCGCGTTGCTGGACCTCAACGACTCCGGGGGCGAGAGCGCAGCCGCGGATCTGAACAACGAGTTCGGCGAGGACCGCGCCATCTTTGTCGCCTGCGACGTCGCCAAAAGCGAAGAACTTAAAGGTAGTTGCAAATGCCTTCTTTTTGTTAGGAATTTCGAAATATCCCTGGGTTCGTCTTAAATCGGAATTAGGAGAGTGCGAATACTCTTTATGTGGTCTATTTTAGGTTAGGTTTCGGCAGTAGAAGTGAGATTTTTAGCTTGGGTTGGAAATGCCTGCTTTTTGTTAGGAATTTCGAAATATTCCTGGGTTCGTCTTAAATCGGAATTAGGAGAGTGTGAATACTCTTTATGTGGTCAATTTTAGGTTAGGTTTCAGCAGTAGAAGTGGGATTTCTAGCTTGGGTTGGAAATGAATCCTTTTTATTATGAATTTGTACATATTTGTGGCTTTGTTTGCGTCGTAATTGGTAAAGTTTGAGTACTCTTGATGTGATTAAGTTTAGGTTAGGTTTGTTCAACAGTGGAACAGGGATTTTTAGCTTGGGTTAGAAATGAATCCTTTTTATTATGAATTTGGACACATTTGTGGGTTCGTTTTACGTCGGAGTTGCGAGAGTTTGGGTACTCTTTATATGGTCAAGTTTAGGTTAGGTTTCAGTACTAGAAGTGGGATTTTTAGCTTGGGTTGGAAATGAATCCTTTTTATTATAAATTTGGACATGAACTTGAGTTCGTTTTACATCTGAACTGGGAGAGTTTGAGTATTCTTTATGTGGTCAAGTTTAGGTTAGGTTTATTTAGTTGGAAATGAATCCTTAATAGGTAAACGACCCTTTCGTGTCATAATTGAGTATTTGTGACATGGTTATTGTTTTATTGCTGTTTCCAAGAATAAAATAGCGGAACTTTTGATATTAGTTGGATATCTTTCTTTTTATTAGAAATTTAGACATATCCGTGTCGTAATTGGTAGAGTTTGGTTATCTTTTACGTGATTGTGGTTTTATTGAATTTTCGTCGTTAAAACCGGAATTTTTAACTTCAGTTGGAGAGGATTCCATTTTTTTTAAATTTGGGAAACTCCATAAACAGTAGAGTTTCGATACTTTGCATCTTTGTTGCAATTTGAATGCTAAAACAGCCATTTTTGACTTCCTAATTTTCTTCAACTCGTAATTAAGCCAAAATTAATAATTTAAACTAGTAGAACGTGGATGTCTACGCGTGATACTGATAGTTCCCCAATAAAAAGTAAAACTTATTGCTTAGACTAAACAAAAATATGAATATTTCTCGTGTATCAATTAATAAATGAAAAAGTTTTGAGAACCTTATAGACACGTGCATACTTCCCGGGTTAGATTATTAATATTCGCGATTGATTCAATTATTAGTTGCTCCCCTTTTTACACATAAGTACAAATAAGAATAAATATTTGAATTTTAAAATATAGCAAACCAAAAATTTTGATAAATATTGAAAATTTAATAATTTAGTATAGTAACTTAATCATTTAAATTCAATCACTAAATATAGTCATTTAATAATTTAACTTTACTTTATTGTAACAAATTTCTGATAAACCTCCTAAAATTCTCTCTTTATACTAAACTTCCTCTCATTGTATACAGGGTGAGTTCATTGTTCCTGTTTTTAGTAACGCAATTAACTCATCGAAAATCAAATATTATTTCCTCGTCACCTTCTCGCATTTATTCACAAAAACCTAATTTTTCACCATTTCTCCAACAACCAAACAATCGAAAATAATCGAGATAGTTACCTTACATGGCTTACCCTGTGTACCAACATCTACGGTACACCCTGTATATTGAAAACCAAGAGTATTGTTATAAACAAAATTTCAATGCCTTATACAATTTTCCAGAAACTCTACTGTTTAAAAATATCATTGTTCCTCTCTCTAAGCACGAGAACCTCGAGCAAATGTTCCTCTACCTAAACAAACCTAAACAACTGATTACTATATTTACACATTATGCTGCGTCGCACTGAATCTAGCATGACTTATCGCCGAATAAAAATACTGTACACAGAATCGTTCAAGAAAGTTATTGACACGTACGAGACCCTGGACATTCTCGTAAACATCGCAGGCATCATGGACGACGCGGATTGGGAAATTATGGTCGACGTCAACTACGTAAGCCATCACGATATCTCTATCCTGTCGAGAAATGTTACATAATTTTTCTCCCGCTGTAAACACGAAAAGCGATTAAAAAAAGTCTTTCTATCTCTCGTTACGTATTCGATTATTTTTTATTTTTTTTTTTTTTTAGTTCTTGAAATATATTCCCGAGAGAGAGAGAGAGAGAGAGAGAGAGAGAGAGAGAGATTTTTCACTAAATTAGGGCAAAATGATTTTACCTGTTTTCTACTGGCAGAAAGGCATCGTTCACGGGACAATATTGGGACTGCACACTATGGGGAAGTATAAGGGTGGCAATGGCGGCACCATAGTGAATATGTCCTCTGTAGCTGGCCTCGACGGCATCCCTATAGCGCCGATTTATGGCGGCACCCAATACGCCATTGTTGGGTTCACTCAGTCGTTGAAGGTAAAATCTGAAATGAGAGATTTTTCGTTAGAAAATGGCGGGAAATAAAAGTGCAAAATTGGTAAAAAATTTGTATAATAAGTAAAAGTAAATATAATTTACTTTTATAATAATATATATTATATGTAATGTAATATCGTGGAATATTGTGCTATTGTTATTAATATTGTTATCGATATCATTAAAACGTTGATAATAATAATGAGTTTGCACGATATTGTGAATTTATGGAAGAATGGAAAAATTCTGTTTCATTATAAATATTGCCGTTTTGTATTTTATTGAATTATATATTTACATTAACTGAAAAACTGGTGAATATTAATTGATATTTATTTAACTGAGAAAAATTATTTTCAAAAATACCAAAGCACTATTACGAGAAAACTGGCATTCGTATGATGACGATATGCCCTGGACTAACAACCACAGCAATGGCTGCTAGATTTATGTCCACCAAGGAACACGCCATGGATCTTCTAGACGAAGAAACTGCGGCTATGGCAATGGCTGGGATGCAGAAACAACCGTAAGCAGAGAATTGAATCCTTTTTTTAAATAAACATTCAATAAATCCTTTTAAATAACAGTCCCTTCGAATATCAAAAATATTAATTCACGATAAATAAAATTTATTATAAATGGATAAATTTATTTTACTCCGTTTTACAACCTTGAAATGATGGTTAAATATATGTAAAAAGAGACAATGAACACCTAATATGAAAAATATAATAACCCTTAATAGGGTTAACTGTATATGAAATAAATTATAATTAAAAAGAAAAAAAGAAAAGAAATTTACTTACGGTAATTGTATATTAAATATTATATACCGAATTATAATTGAAATATAGTAATTGAATGATAATTACTATATTTCTTTCTTTCAGAGAATTTATTAGATATGAATCTTTCTTATGCAATTTTTTTTGTATATTAAATATTATATTGATTATATTATATTAATAAATATTAAATATTATATACCGAATTAAAATTGAAATATAGTAATTGCATGATAATTACAGAGTTTCAGAGAATTTGGGAGATATGAATCTTTCTTATGCAATTTTATATATAATTTTTTAACGTCTTCAAAGTTGAAATTTTTTTTTATTAATTTATTTGTTTGATTTTAATAAGAATTATTTTTACATAAAATAATGTTTGTTAACAGACCGGAACACGTAGCCAGCGCCATTATCCAATTAATCGAGGAAGGGAAGAACGGAGCGATTATGGTGGTCGAAAATAACCAACCCCCATTCGGGGTGGAAATTCCTAATTATACGACTCTACAAGTCCCTATATAAACATTAATATCACTAGAGAAAGAAATCTGGTTAAAGGAATATTATCGACTAGCTACTAATTTAATTCATTATTGATCCAATATGTTAATCCCATATTAATTTAATGTTCAAAAGAAACCTGAAGGAATGCGAAGGTTACATTTTATCAGAACTCTATAACAAATCGCATTCTACGATTCAAAATTACAATTAAAATGGAAATTAACAGTTAACACTCGTTTCACTAAGACAATCGTTAATTTAATTTTCATACAAATATTTAAAGATCGTCTATGATGTTTAACATTTGTCAGAGTCATATAACAAACTATTTTCTTTAATTAAAAATTAGTATCAAAATGGTAATTGATAATTAACACGTATTTTAATCAAATGATTATTAATTTAATTTCATAAAAATATCTATGCTAATATCTATGATGATTATTAATTTAATTATCATAAAAATATCTATAGTGTATCTATGGAATGTAATATTTATCAAAATGCAATAACAAATTGCATAACAGTACATTTTTAATTAAAAATTGGTACCAAAATGGTAATTGACAATTAACACGCATTCTAATCAAATAATTTTAATGTAATTGTCATAAAAATATTTGCAGCTTATCTATGGAATCTAATATTTATCAAAATGCAATAACAAATTGCATAACAGTACATTTTCAATTAAAAATTGGTACCAAAATGGTAATTGACAATTAACACGCGTTCTAATCAGATAATTTTAATGTAATTGTCATAAAAATATTTACAGCGTATCTATGGAATCTAATATTTATCAAAGTACAATAACAAATTGCATAACAGTACATCTTCAATTAAAAATTGGTACCAAAATGCTAATTGATCATTAACACGTATTTTAATCAAATGATTATTAATTTAATTTCATAAAAATATTATAGCATATCTATGGACTCTAATATATATCAAAGTACAATAACAAATTGCATAACAGTACATCTTCAATTAAAAATTGGTACCATAATGGTAACTGACAATTAACACGCATTCTAATTAAATGCTGATTAATTTAATTGTTCAAAAAATATCTGTACAATATCTATCAAAAAATGGTACCAAAATGTAACAATTAACACCGAATATTAATTTATCAATATTTAATAAATATAATCCAAGCGACTTATATTTATTAATACTTAACAACGATTAACATCCGCATGTATAATAACTGCACTAACAGTATACAATGTACAACAAACGTCTACGAATTTGTTCGAGAAAGAAAGAAAATCAAAAAGCGAAAAGAAAGAAGAAAAAAAAGCTGTAAAAGAAACAAATAAAAAAATAGAATATTCATTTTATTTTAAGAAGTTAAAATTTATTTTTATCGTAACTGCGTGTATCTATAGAAAGCGTCTGATATCTCAGACTTGTTGTTGAAAACTGAACCAAAAAGAACAACAAATTAGCATGTATGAGTGCCTACGTGACACGATCTCGCGTGTGTTAGTGCGTATCAACATCCTATATAAATCTTGTC